GTATCATGCCATGATTCTACATGATTAATTTTTTCCATATTTAACTTGGCATGACAGCGATGCACATTAATGTCATATCTGTTAATAGACAAATTTAGGATACCGACTATAATGGTTAGCGTAATTATAGCCTAGAATGTTTCTGTATTTCATGTATATATTGTGCTATCATATTCAATACAAGACAGGGGTTTTTGGAAATATTTTTATCATGGTATCAGAGCGAACCAAACTCTGATATCCAACAGCCCGAGAACACAGTCGTACTTCTAAAATGGCAGAGAGAGGAGAGGCGGTGAAGAAAACACCATCGCCATACGATCTGAGTGCCAGTGATAATCCTGGAAATGTGATTACACAGGTACAATTACGAGGAGAGAATTACGAGGAATGGGCAAGGGCCGTGAAGATATCTCTGCGGGCTCGAAGGAAATGGGGTTTCATAGATGGAACTCATAAGGAACCTGAAGAAGACACATCCGAGATAGAAGATTGGTGGACAATTCAATCGATGCTTGTATCTTGGATACTAAACACTATAGAACCTAGTTTGCGTTCCACTTGTTACATACATGGAAAACGCAAAGGACCTATGGGATGACATCAAGGAACGATTCTCGATCGTGAACGGACAAGCAGGCTAAAGTCGAGTTGGCAGAATGCAAACAACAAGGAATGACTATGGTTTCCTATTATGGGAAGTTGAAAACGTTGTGGGATGAGCTGACAAATTACGAGCAAATCCCACGGTGTAGATGTGGGGGATGCAAGTGTAATATTATGACGCAACTTGAGAAACGAAGAGAAGAAGAAAAAATTCATCGAGTTCTTGATGGGGCTAGATGATGAGGGCTATGGAACTGCACGGTCAAATGTTTTGGCAACAGATCCGTTACACTCGTTGAATCGGGTGTATGGCACCATGGTGCAAGAAGAAAGGGTGAGAACAATCACCAGGTCTAAAGAAGAGCGAGGAATGATCGTGGGAATGGCTATGCGAGCGGAAACCGGGAACAAGTTGCGCAATGAAGCGAAAGAAAAATCGAGTTGTTTGCATGCGGTGTGGAAGGAAGGGACATGACAAAGGCAATTGCTTCAAGATCATTGGTTACCCAGAATGGTGGGGAGAGAGACCACGAGCCGATAAAAACGATGAAAAAAATCAACAAAGAACGAGGAACCTTCCGAGGAAAAGGAGGAACGGCTCGCGTCAATATGACGCACAGCTGGTGCGGATAACGTTGGTTCAACCGAAAAACCAGAAGTCGCAGGACTGAGTAATGAGCAATGGCAGATCTTGACAGCAATGTTGAATTCTCGCAAGGCAAATGAAACTGAAAAGATGACTGGTAAGAAAGCATGTGACTTGTGGATTATTGATAGTGGCGCCTCTAATCATATGACAGGAACACTAGAAAACTTGAGGGAGAGTCGAGCCTTGGAAGGGTGCCCAGTGGGACTACCAAATGGTGAATTGGTGCTGGCAAACAAAGAAGGATCGGTTTTCCTTGATGGGGACTGAAACTTAAACATGTTCTATATGTTCGAAATTGAATTGCAATTTGATTTCGATATCACAATTGACGAATGAAGTAAAATGTACGAGTACATTTCGCTGATAGATTTTGTGCAATGCGGGACCACACTTCGAGGATGCGTGATTGGTATCGTGGTGTGAGTGGCATAAAGGCGTATCGGACCAATGCGAGAAAATCAACTAGAGATTTGGCACAAGCGAATGGGACATCCTGCCTACCAGATTGTTAGAAAAATTCCGCATCTGAACAGCGTGAATAGAAATACGGATACAACTCGTGTGTGTGAAGTGTGTGAGAGATCAAAGCAATGCAGAAACACATTTCCTTTAAGTGATTTTCAAGCATCCAATATATTTGATTTAATACATTGTGATTTATGGGGTCCATATAGAACTCCCTCGTCTTGTGGTGCATCTTACTTTCTCACTTTGGTTGATGACTGTTCTCGAGCTGTGTGGATATATCTCTTGAATAATAAGAAAGATGTGTCACAAACCTTAATGCATTTCATCGCCTTAATAGAACGACAATACGAGAAACAAGTCAAAATATTACGAAGTGACAATGGAGCCGAGTTTATGTGTCTTCAACGATATTTTCGGCAACATGGGATACTCCATCAAATCTCATGCACTTGGAACACCTCGGCAAAATGGGAGAGCCGAGCGAAAACATCGACACATCCTAAATGTAGCTCGTGCTTTACGATTTCGGGGAGAACTTCCACTTCAATTCAGGGAGAATGCATTTTGGCCGCGGGATACTTGATCAATCGTACACCCTCAACCGTTCTCCATGGAAAAACTCCATATGAAATATTGAATGGGAAGCCACCCACTTATGACCATCTACGGGTATTTGGATGCTTGTGTTATGCACATAACCAAGATAGGAAAGGTGACAAATTTGCAAGTAGAAGTCGCAAGAATGTATTCGTTGGATATTCAATCGAAAAAAGGGCTGGAAATTGTTTGATCTAGAAAGAGAAGTCTTACGGACTTCGAGAGATGTTAAGTTTGTAGAACATGAATTCTCGTTTGCCTCTCTTGCCCACGAGTAGACATTCGGAGGTAGGATTGCCTACTGTTGATGTTGGCATTGTCGAGGAAGCATTGCCTGGACTTGGTGCAATGAACAATGCGGAACACGTTGTGGAGGCCGATGACGTTAACCCCACGACGAAGATGTGCCCACAGCCGAGTTCGGTGAGGGCCACGGCTGAATGCCATGAACAAGAGCCTCCCACCCGGATCGTTCTCCCACCGGAACAAGCCGACTCTATGATGACGAGAACTAGAGGTTCTCGAGGAGCATACTGTCCCTGCATCCACGGGGAAAGGTCTTCGTGTACGAAAGCCATCCGTGAAGCTTCGTGATTATGTCACTAACACCACTTTACAACTCGGTCCCTCAATTCGCACTCCACATTCGGCTTCCTCGGGTATGCCTTACAGTTTGACAAAGTACTTAAATTGTGCTAAATTCTCCTTCCCCCACCGAACCTTTCTTGCGACCACTTCATGCGGAGAGAGAACCTGTGCATTTCTTTGAAGGCCGTTCGGGATGTTAGATGGAGAGATGCCATGGCTAGTGAAATTCGGGCCCTCCAAAGTAATGAAACATGGGACATTACTCCTCTACCTAGCAGGGAAGAAGCCTCCGGGTTGCAAGTGGATTTATAAAATCAAATATCATTCGATGGGAGCGTTGAACGCTTCAAAGCCCGATTAGTTGTCTTGGGAAATCACCAAGTTGAGGGGATTGACTATGACGAGACTTTTCCCCGAGTGGCAAAGATGGTCACCATTCGGACGGTGTTGGCGGTGGCGTAGCCAAAGGCTGGGAACTTCATCAAATGGATGTCCATAATGCTTTTACGCACGGCGATCTTGAGGAAGATGTGTACATGAAAATGCCGCCGGGGTTCTTGGTGTCTCAAAGGGTATGGTGTGTCGTCTCCGCAAGTCCCTTTATGGTCTTCGTCAAGCTCCTCGGTGTTGGTTTGCCAAGCTCTCAAGCTGCTCTTGTTCAATATGGGTTTCAACGTTCTTCGTCTGATCACTCCTTGTTCATCTTTCGCAAAGGAGATGTTGAGCTGGTTGTGTTAGTTTACGTGGATGACCTAGTCATTGCTTGGTAATCATCATGAAGACATTGCGCAATTCAAAGATTATCTTCATCAATGTTTTCGTATGAAGGACTTAGGGAAATTAAAATACTTTCTTGGGGTGGAGGTTGCCGGATCTCCTACGGGAATTTTCTTGTGTCAACGGAAGTATGCGTTGGACATCATAGGCTGAAGCGAGGATTGCTTGGAGGGAAACTCGTGTCCACGCCAATCGAAGAAAATCATCGTTTAGCATTGGGCGATGGCGAACTACTTTCCGACCCGAGTCAATATCGACGTCTCGTCGGTCACCTTATTTACTTGTGTTTTACACGACTCGAATTATCTTACGGTGTTCATGTCCTATCTCAATTCATGCACCAACCGCGTCGAGGAGCATTGGCGGGCTGCACTCCGCGTGGTACGCTATTTAAAGGGCAGCCCAGGTCGGGGTGTGCTTTTAAAAAGAGAGAGTGACCTTCGTCTTTATGGTTGGTGTGACTCGGACTGGGCAAGTTGTCCTCTAACTCGAAGATCTCTCACCGATTGGTTTATTTTCCTTGGTCAATCCCCCGTTTCCTGGAAAACCAAGAAGCAACATACGGTTTCTCGATCATCCGCTGAGGCAGAATATCGTTCTATGGCCAACACGACATGTGAGTTGAAATGGCTTCAAGGCCTTCTTTCGAGCCTAGGCATTACTCACACCGACCCTATGACTCTCTCTCGTGACAACCAAGCTGCCCTTCACATTGCCAAGAATCCTGTGTTTCATGAACGGACAAAACATATTGAAGTGGATTGTCATCTTATTCGTGATGAAATACAACACAATCATATCAACCCTCCTATGTGTCCACTCATCATCAACTGGCTGATCTCTTCACCAAATCTCTTGGCGCCACTAAATTTGGTTCTTTTTTAGGCAAGTTGGGCATTCACAACCTTCATACTCCATCTTGAGGGAGGGTGATAAACATAGAATATACGATTACAAATACCGTATCATGCCATGATTCTACATGATTAATTTTTTCCATATTTAGCTTGGCATGACAGCGATGCACAGTGATGCACATTAATGTCATATCTGTTAATAGACAAATTTAGGATACCGACTATAATGGTTAGCGTAATTATAGCCTAGAATGTTTCTGTATTTCATGTATATATTGTGCTATCATATTCAATACAAGAGAGGGGTTTTTGGAAATATTTTTATCAGTAAAAGAGTGATTATATATATAAACAACTTCATACATCAATATTTATTATAATCTTTACTTCTATAGGTGTTAATAACACTTACATAAAATATATATGACACTTCTGATAAGCATGTATGGAAGCATGCATCAAGCATCATAAACAATGGGGATCAAACACAATTCATTTTTCTTCCCAATGGCCATCCCGGGGCGTTCAATTGTGTCTATACTCTCAGGTGTCATGCCATTTGGGAGTTCCCAGTTGAAATGATAAAGTAATCGAGCCAGTGGAAGCATAATACTTGCTAAACCAAACGTGATGCCTGGGCATATTCTCCTTCCTGCACCAAATGGCAGATACTCAAAGTTATTCCCTTTGAAATCGATAGAACTTCCCTCAAACCTTTCTGGGACAAACTTCTCCGCATCAATCCAGTACTGGGGGTCCCTACAAATTGCCCATACGTTTATCATCACTTTAGTTTTGACAGGGATTTCATATCTGTTGGGAAAAATATGCTGAATCTTCCCATATGGTCAGATCTGTGAAAGTGAAATAAAAGCGGAATAATTGCACACACAAGTTGATAACGGAGTTCGGCCAATAATGCCTACGTCTCCGGACTACTACAGATCTCTTTCTGGGAGAAAAGAAAATACACAAGTGTTTACAAAACACTCTCAAAGCACTCACAACTCACAACCCAATTACACCCAGAAGCTAAACTAAAACTCTCTTGTTTTTCTGCCTCTCACTAGTGCCACTCTTTCTTCTCTAAGAGAAGTAGTATTTTGTGTGGGATGGGATGCTCTTGCTTGTAGGAAGAAGACCAATTTATAGCAAAAAATTGGCACTATGCATTACATTAAAATATGTCCCATGAGCACCTCATGGTTACATAAAAAATTTGGCAGCCACCCTTACCCACTTTCTTTGACCAATTGCAGCCACCCTTGCCCACTTTCTTTGACCAACAATCTCCCACTTGAGGACCGATTTCAATTTGTCCTCACACCTTGATCAATAGTAGTCTTCTCTTGTCTCGTTATCCTTGTAAGCTAACTGAAGTTGAGCATAACTTCGGTTTGTCAATAGTCACCACCTTTGTTAGCATATCTGCTGGGTTCTTACTTCCCACAATTTTCTTCAATGTTAGCATCTCATCCTCAAGTAGAGATCTGATGAAATGATAACGTATGTCGATGTGTTTGGTTCGGAGTGAAATGCTGAATTTTTTGCCGGATGTATTGCACTCGACTATCACCGTGCAAAACACTCCTTTCTTGAATGAATCCCAACTCGCCAACAATCCTTGAAGCCATATCAATTCTTTACTGGCTTCATCACTGCTACATACTCGGCCTCTGTAGTGGATAAAGTAACAATCTTCAGTATCCGTGACATCCAACTAACAGTTGTAGTTCCAACGAGTAAACACATACCCAGTGGTGCTTCTTCGGTGATCAACTTCACCTCCAAAGTCCGCATCTACGTAGCCCTGCAATTTTAGATCTCCTTTTCTAAAATACGAGACATTTTTCTGTTGTGCCTCGTAGATACCTCGGAATCCATTTGATCTGCTTCCCAATGAGCTTTTCCTGGATTTGACATGAATGCGCTTACAACTCCCATTGCATGGCCAATGTCCGGCCTCGTACGGACCATCGCGTACATCAAACTTCCAATGGCTGAAGCATACGGAATCTTAGCCATTAACTCTTCTTCTTCCTTCGTTTGAGGAGACTGATCCTTGGATAGACGAAAATGGCAAGCCAAAGGTGTATTGACTGGTTTGGCATTGTCCATGTTGAATCTCTGCAAAACACGGTTGATGTACTCCGCTTGAGATAAGCTGCAAAACTCCTTTTTGCTTATCTCTCGTGATTTGCATTCCAAGAATCTTCTTTGCTTGGGCCTAAGTCCTTCATGTCAAATTCTTTTGACAAGCTGCTTCTTTAAGTTTATGATCTCATTCATATCTGAACCTCGCTACTAGCATATCATCAACATAAAGTAGCAAAATGATATAACTGGACTTATACCTTTTGAAGAAACAACGGTGATCGGCGTTGCACTTCCGGAAACTCTCCTTGTGCATGAAGCTTTCGAACTTCTTATACCACTTGTCTTGGAGCTTGTTTCGGGCCATACAAGCTCTTTTTCAATCTGCACACCAAGTTCTTCTTTCCTTCGAAAAACCTTCAGGCTGGTGCATGTAGATCTCCTCATCTAAATCTCCATGAAGAAATGCGGTCTTCACATCTAATTGCTCTAGGTAGAGCTCCTCACTAGCCACAATACTTAACACAGTCCTGATAGTATTGAGCTTTACAAGCTGGAGCAAAGATTTCGAGTGTAGTCGACTCCTTCTTTCTGCTGAAATCCTTTGACGACCAGTCGAGCTTTGTATCTCTTAGAACCATCATGGTCTTCCTTCACTCGATACACCCATTTGTTGTGAAGTGCTTTCTTTCCCATAGGTAACTTGACTAGTTCCCATGTCTGATTTGAGATTAAAGACTTCATCTCGTCTTTCATGGCAAGCTCCCACTTGCTAGCATCCGTGGCTTGACAAGCTTCAGTATAATCTTCGGGCTCCCTCCATCGATCAACAACATATAGTCCATGTATCTCCTGTTAGGCACATGAGGCCGAGAAGACCTTCTCAATACGGGAGTTGGAGTAGGAGGTTACGCTTGCACATCAAGTTCTTCAACTGATTCCTCCGGTCGAGGACTCCTCATTATAGGACTTTCCGGGATATCTTCCACCTCTGCATAAACCGGCCCACTCGCTTCGAGTTGTTGGCACCTGTATTATGCTTGTCCTTGTACATCACTCTTTCATTGAAGATTACGTCTCTGCTGCGGATCATCTTTTTGTTTTCATCGTCCCATATGCGGTAGCCAAACTCATCTTCACCATAACCAAGGAAAGTACATTTCTTTGATTTTGGATCAAGTTTGTTTCTGCCTTGATCAGCGATATGCGCATATGCTACACAGCCAAAAACTCTAAGATGTGAGAGTTTTACCTCTTTTCCGCTCCATACCTCTTCCGGTATCTTGTGTTCCAATGGTACCGATGGACTTCGGTTGATCAAGTAAGCTCGCTGTGTTGACCGCTTACGCCCAAAGCGCTTTGGTAAGCCTGACTGCACACGCATGCTTCGGCCCTTTCGATCAACGTTCGATTCATACGCTCGGCTACACCATTGTGTTGAGGCGTACCGGCACGGTTCTCTCCATTCGATTCCGTGCTCATAGCAAAACTTCTTGAATTTGGTGTCTACATATTCACCACCATTGTCGGATCCGAGCTTCTTAATCTTTAATCCTGTCTCATTTTCCACCATAGCTTTCCATATCTTGAAAGCTTCAAATACTTCTGACTTATATTTCGGAAAGTAAACCCATACCTTTACGGAGTGATCATCAATGAAAGTCACGAAGTAATGCTTCCCACCAACGGATGAGACAGTCGTTGGACCCCAAACATCGAGTGGATGAGCTCAAGCTTCTCTTTCTTTGGGGTTCTTTTACTTGTCCGAAAGTCGACTCTCTTACGCTTTCCAAGTATGCGATCTTCACACATGTCAATATCTACTCGGCTGAAGACCTGGTAATTTTCCTCTCGAGTGCATGACCTTCATTCCTTTCTCACTCATATGTCCAAGTCTTTGGTGCCATATGTTGGAATTTTCATTTGCTTGCAAGCTGCAATCAAATGACATGCTCCTGCAGTCTTGTAGAGAGTTCCACTCTTTTTGCCTCGAGCAATCGTCATCGCACCTTTTGAGATCTTCCATTCATCACCATGGAAGATTGTCGTATAGCCTTCACTAGCTAACCGACCTACTGAGATTAAGCTCTTTGTCGAGTCGGGAATATGTCCGACATTTTTCAATTCCCATACGGACCCATTCAAGCTTAATCCTTACTGCACCTTTGCCTACAATCTCACATGACTGTTCATTACCAAGGTAAACCTTACCAAGGTTTCAGGAACATAATTCTCCAACGGTTCCTTACGTGAGGTAGCATGAAAAGAAGCTCCGGAGTCTAACACCCAAGACTCCTCCCTGCCTTCAAGAGAGCATATCAACGCCTCATCTTTTCCCGAGGTGGAGGCAACGTTTGCTTCGTCCTTTGCTCCTTGATTCTTCCGTGCACTCTTGCACTTGGTTTCGAAGTGTCCGGTCTTCCCACAATTCCAACACTCGATCGTTTTTGAGTTGTGGGAACTACGATGATTTCTCGGACTTGGACCGCTTGTCCTTTGATTTTCCATGTCCAATTTCTTTGGTTGAACTTCTTCCTCTTGACTCGTATGCAATACTGAAGAGGTTGATGCTTCACCCGACTCTCTCCACCGGATCTCTTCGCTGAGAACCAAATTTTGAACATCATTAAATCTTAACTTGTTGTTTCCCGATGAGCTACTCACAGCTGTGGCCGTAGCATTCCAACTCTCTCGGTAGGGAAGACAAAAGTATTAAAGCCTGTACTTCATCATCGAATTTGATGTCAATAGAACTCAACTCGGGTTGTTACGAGTGTTGAGTTCATTGAGATGATTTGCCACCGAAGCACCTTCAGACATCCGCAGGTTGAACAATCGCCTCATCAAGTGAACTTTGTTTGAAGCTGATGGTTTCTCGTACATGTTGGAAAGAGCCTTCATGAGATCTGAGGTCGTCTTTTCTTTCACAATGTTGAAAGCAACATTACGGGATAATGTTAGACGAATAACTCCAAGAGCCTGTCTATCAAGGAGTCTCCATTCTTCCTCTTTCATGGTTTCTGGCTTCTCCCCTGTGAGTGGTTGATGCATCTTCTTCGATACGAGATAATCCTCTATCTGCATCTTCCAGAAGCCAAAGTCTCGTACCGTCGAACCTTTCGATTTTCATTTTTCCTTCGTCTGTGACCATCACTCCAACTCGATCCGACTTATCTGCTGGATCGTTTCGACAATTTACGTGAGCTACAGTGTTTCGGAACACGATTGCGGGCAAATTTGTAACGCCGACAAAATTTGCACTATTCACGTTTTCACTATTCACGGAATAGTAACTTACTATTCATATGAATAGTAACACCACAAAAATTACGAGAACTAACAACCAGCTACGATACCAGTTGTTGGGAAAAATATGCTTGAATCTTCCCATATGGTCGGATCTGTGAAAGTGAAATAAAAGCGGAATAATTGCACACACAAGTTGATAACGGAGTTCGGCCAATAATGCCTACGTCTCGGACTACTACGGATCTCTTTACGGGAGAAAAGAAAATACACAAGTGTTTACAAAACACTCTCAAAGCACTCACAACTCACAACCCAATTACACCCAGAAGCTAAACTAAAACTCTCTTGTTTTTCTGCCTCTCACTAGTGCCACTCTTTCTTCTCTAAGAGAAGTAGTATTTTGTGTGGGATGGGATGCTCTTGCTTGTAGGAAGAAGACCAATTTATAGCAAAAAATTGGCACTATGCATTACATTAAAATATGTCCCATGAGCACCTCATGGTTACATAAAAAATTTGGCAGCCACCCTTGTCCACTTTCTTTGACCAATTGCAGCCACCCTTGCCCACTTTCTTTGACCAACAATATCCATCGATGATGGTTCTTTCAGAGCATTCTCTAGGGATCAATAAAGGAGTAGGAGGGTGTAGCCTCAATGTCTCTTTCACCACCAACTTCAAATACGTAAGTTGCTCTACATCCCTTTCATCAATTATTTTCTTCTCTGCTAATGCTTGTCTTAACTCAGCTTGTGCTTTCTTCATCACCCTTGGACTTCGCATCATTTCTGTCATTGCCCACTCTAGTGTTGATGCTGAAGTATCAGTTCCACCAGCAAATATGTCCTACTCAAACAAGTAAAATATTTTCATATAATTTTTGGTAAAATGATACCAGAACTTGCATTTATATAATAAAATTGTAGGCGTTAAAGTGAGAGGAAAAAAAAATCTGTAATCTAGAAGTTTTGATTGTTTTATATCCATTCATCTTTTTAATGCTGACATTTCATTGTATCCTTCTCTTCTTTTTCCATTAGTTTTTTTACTTACATTTTTTTTCTCTTTTTCTGTTAATATTATATATATATATATATATATATATATATATATATATATATATATATATTTATCCGACTCACTCATCATTTTAGTAGGTTATGAGTTGACCAAAAGGCCCCAATCCAAATTTTCAACTCTAATCAAATCTTAATATAAGACCAAACCATTTAATTTACCCCCACTCTTTTGCTTTATAAAAGACCAGACAACAGCATACTTTTTAAAACAAACCGAAGGTTAACATGGGAATAATGAAATAAAAACCAAACCCCACCTGATCGACTAAGTTCAAACTTAGTTTACTGCAAACGATAAAAAAGTTTTCTTTCCATAATTGAATATTAAATTGGCGAAGAAGAAATAAATCTAAATGAGAACAACTACTTGACTTCATACTAATATATATCCTGCCGCATTTATTTATTTTTTTCAAAAACAACTCAGGATTCGCTATAGCTGGTAGCTGATATTCTTACGTAACTTTGAAAGAAGTAGCCGTGGGAGTGGTTTGAATTTTGTTACGATAAAAAAAAAACATTATAGCTTATTTCAACAAGTTAAACAAAGGGGTTAAACATTTTTTGTTACGCAAATAGTTTTGTGTCCTAAACTTAATTTTGCAACATTTGAAGAACAGAAAAACAAAGAGAGCACATGCATATATGCAAGGGAGAATTGAAAGCCAAGTGTTTCGTAGTTGTATTTACTAACCAATATCAAAGCTTTGACGTTCCTAGTCGTCATTTTGATGTCGAGAGCAGCTTCAGTCTGTTGGACTCTGAGAAGAACATCAACAAGATCCTCGTCCTTTATTTGAACTCTCCCTTCTTCTGCTCTTATTTGCTTTTCTTGATGCTCTTTGACAATATTTTCCAAGACCCTATCAACCTGATTTAGCAACTTCTCTAATTTGGCCTTCTTCCCAGTTATGAAATGCATGGATTTCATTGAAGGGAACAAATCAGCAAGGTCAAATCCTCCAACCGATCCTATGACTTTTTTAATCAAAAACATAAATTCATCCTGGTCCTTTGATTTGTTACCAAATGCTGCCCTGGAAACAGAAGTGCTTACCAATGAGAAAATTCTGCTAGTTAGATTGATTGGTGAACCTGCTGATGCTCGAATCGAATCAATAAACTTTGCCGTCTCGTTTTCTCTAATAAAAGAGAAAGAGTGAACTCTCTTGGTACTTAGAAGTTCTGAGACAAATATTTTCCTCATTTGTCTCCAGTAATCACCATATGGTGCAAAAACAACATCTATTCCCCCATAGGACAAAATTTGTGCAGAAATGAACTGGGGCCTCTGCACAAAAGCAACATCATGCGTTTTGGTTATTTCCTTGGCCATCTCGGGGGAGGATGCAACCACAGCAGAAATTTCACCGAGTTGGAGGTGCATGAGAGGTCCATATTTATGGGAAAGTTTTTGGAGAGCATGGTGTGGAAGTGAACCTGCTACTGCTAGTTGATGCAGGTTCCCTATGAGTGGTAGCCTCTTTGGGCCAGGGGGAAGTTTGAGAGAGACATGGGATTTAAGCTTGTAATGTTTTGCAAGCCAATACGATAGAAGGAAGAGGGAGAAGGAAATAACCAAGATGCAGGTTTGAGTTTCCATGGCTTTGTGGATTCAGCCCTCAAGTGTGTACATTCTTTGGCAAGGACTGGTTGTTACTATTTATAATCCTCAATCCGTACAACAATCTATGCTTTCGAGATCTACAGAACGGGGCCTTGAAAGAGTTAAAGAAATTGCAGATGAAAATTGTATAAGTATGACTTTCTTTTTTGAAATTTTCTTTTTCTACAACTTTTTCTATTTAATATATTCAAAACATAAAATGTGTTGAATGCTTACTTTTAATATTCTCTTCTGTATATTTATCCATTAAGTAGAGACTATGTATATTTTTTCGAGGTTTAACATAACTACATCAGACAATGATTTTATATATATATATATATATATATATATATATATATATATATATATATATATATATATATATATATATATATATATATATATATATATATTAAGAACAATCTCGCATTCATCCGTACATTTTATGATATTCATATCCTATTAAAAAAGTTGAGATATTTATAAATAAATAAAATCTATATAATAATATTTTATGATTTTTTTAAAATAATATCATATATTTTTTAATATTCTCATTTTATGAAAATCTCTCAACATCGAAAATATCTTATAACAGTATATCATAGTATGATTTGTTGAAGATCGCTCACTTAAGCATGATTGAAATAGGTAATAGATTTGAAACCGTATATTCTAAAAGTCTTTTTAACAATAATTTTAGTTAAATGAGTCATATTAAATTAAATGATAATAGAAATAAGGTTACTATTACTTACTTATAGTTTAGAAATATTTTTTCTCAAAAAGAAGATGTATTAATATAAAATTATACTTAAAGGAAAATTGTTAGAAAATTCAAATATGTATTAAAATATTTCATTATAAAAATAAAAAAGTTAAATAATTATAAGTAAAATACATGTCTTAAAATTTTATATTATAGATTATTAAGTGGTAAAAGTTAACGTAATTATGTTCTTAATTGTTATGTAACTACTTAAATATTATTGATTTTAATTTATATTTCTCCTAACGTAGGATGAATTGGTAGAATACCTTGATACAAGAGCAAAAATTATAATTGTGAAAATAATTGAAGAAAAAATGAAAGAAAGAAGAAGATTTTCTACTAAAAATTCGCTCGAGTGTGCCATCTACTCTCGTTTGAGTGAATATACGTTAAAGTTCTCGGGAGTTCTTTCGCTCAAGCGCCTTCCATTCTCGCTTGAGCAAAAAGACGACAAACCTCTCGGGTGTGCACTCACTCAAGCGACATCTACTATCGCTTGAGCAAAAATACGACAAAGTTTTCGGGTTTCTACTCGCTCAAGCGGACATCTTTCGCTTGAGCGAAAGTTGCTGTTTTTCGCTCAAGCGAATAATTGGTCGCTTGAGCGAATGAATGATAATAGGTCCGACCCAAATTTTGAGATAATAGGTCATGACAATATTTTGAGATATTAATATATGTTTTGATGCTGTTATTCTTATCTTTTGTGTCTTTGAATGATTTATTCTTGATATTTGGGATATGATTGAAAAATATATCTTGAAACCCTAGCTCAGGTAAGAATATTTGTTATGTTAATTACCAGGAATGGAATGAATGTATCAAGTGCTTAACACCCTAAACTTAATGCTGAAAAATCTCATAAATATGTGAGAAATCGACTTTTATAAGGTTTTCTTATGAATTTCACATGTGAGGAATCAAAGTGAATGATTTGAGTAGGTGATGCCAATATTGATAGGTTAATTGATGTTCTTAATTTGATCTAATCATTATGTAAAAGAGAGAAATGGAAGGAATAAGTTCTTTTATTTGATATTTTCTAAACATACTTTACTATTTTTTGTCATTTAATTTTAATCTTAATCTATGAAAACTCAATTTTGTTTCAATATACTTAATAAGTATATGATTTAAAATTTCTATTAAAATCGTTCTTCATAGGATCGACTTTTATTTAATCAAAATACTATACTGTAATTGATAATTTTGATACGTTTGTTAAATATTCAACAAAGATAAGATTATGTTATTAAAAGAAAAAATAGAGCATAATCATCTATTGAGTATGAAGATAGAGAGAAATTGTTAATTATTAATGAATATGAAATTTTAATGGGCTAGAATAACAAATATATAATAGTGTAGAGAGGTTTCACACTTTTTATCCTAATTCTTAAAATATAACTTATAAATTTACAAAATTAATTATATTACCTTAATATGATATAAAAATCTATTTTTCTTGATATCACCTACACGGCTAATAAAGATCATATCAAGAGAAGAGAATATTAGAGAAAAGTTTCATTTAATTTTGAGATAATATCTTGTTATAAATGGTGAAAATACTTAATTTAATGTTATAAAACGGGTTCGGTGAGAATTATACTCACTTTTTCATCATACTTTTATATATATATTAGTCACTTCTATAATTGTCTGTTTTTCATCTTTCAAGTGTTTATAAATCAATCTTTCATATGCCTCGTTATGTTGCATGATAGGTGCCCCTGCAGCGTTCCCAAAAGTCTACAAAATTGAATTAAACTTTAACAATAAAATTAAACATATTTAAATTTTATAAATAAATCTAAGTTATTTTTTTAATTAAAATGATAAACAAGAATTTTAAACGTAACTTGTCATATTCATGAAATTAGAAAGTATGCTTGGTAAGTAGTTTATAAGTTATTCTTGGCAACAAAAATTCTATTGACAATTTTAAGGTTTCTCATATATCTAATACTTACTAAAAATCATAAACATAAAATTTAAACATATAAATTAAAAATTTATTTCATATATATATATATATATATTAAAATTTTCAAAATTAATTTTATATTTGTCTTTTCTAAATAAATATGCTACTAGAAAACGTTGGATTATTCAAGTTTTTTTTTCTTTTCAGATACACTTGATACGAAATCCCCCTTAAGCTAATACTAGGTCATAAGAACTATTTATAGATTGACGTTTTCACGCCATATATAGATTATGCACTTCTTTATCCAACTTTATACTTTATTATTTTTATATACATCGAGGAAAATATTATAATGATTAACGCACAGTATCACTTGAAATTTCTTGTTCCCATCTGCGTCCGTTTCGTCTTTGCTCCTAGAATGATGATATGTTCATTGACGTTGATGTAATCGTAACACATGAAACGCATCTTCTAATTTTCGGAAACATTATAGGTTTTGTTTTAATAATCACGAAATTATAAAATGAGTTTCATATTTTATCGTGATTCAAATTATCAATATCCACTGTGACGAAATCAATCTAGGAGCATAATGCAATCTGCAAAATATGTTGATTCTCTCTGTCAAAAAGATGTAAGTTGATCTTACAAAACAATAAACACTATGAAAAAACAATATAGTATACCTTAGACTAAGATTTTTAAAATGACTTCTTATTCAAATTTTGATACATGTTTTGAACAAAACTTTCCACAAACATTTTTAGCGAGAAAAATAAAATAGAAAATATTATTTTTATAAATTAAAATTAATTTATATATAAATTAAAATAATAATAATTCAAAACACTATTTCAAAAAACATCACTACATTGGCTTATGCAAAGCCTAATTTCATTTTATGAAAAAAGAAAAAGAAAAAAAGATTAACCTTAGATTTAAATTCCTAAAACTTATGATTGTTCTAAAAAGTATACCACACATTCAGCTAGTTTTTGAACTACATAGCTTGATTTTCTATTATTTTATTATAATGATTTGTTTATGAAAATAATGTGTTATTTATATAAGTCATTCCATGTAAACTTTACTGGTTAAATATCGTTTTTATTTATTAATTTTTTTTTATAAAAGTATATATGCTACAAATAGAGTTAGTTAAATTTAAAACAAAATAGTGTTAGTCCTATTAATAAATATAGGTTGGAATTAGTTGTAACAAACAACTAGTTTTGTTTTTAATATAAAAAATAAAAGACTGTTAAAGTTCTTGCTTTTATTCCTAAAATAATGATATACTGTATGTATGTGGAATTAATCTATACTAGTGGATAATCAACACTGTTTCTATCTACGTATAATTTTCTTCTCTCCATGTGAACATTATATTCTTCTTTCTTTTTTCTTTTTATATATATTTCAATGAAAAAATCAATCTTTCTTATCTTTTTATAATTACATTATCTAAGTAATATTTATGAGTTTTAAAGTATAATCTTTCTTAACTTTGAATTTTACATGTTTAATTTTTTAAAATTTATCAGAAACAAAATTTCAATTAGTTTTCATAAGTTATATGTTTAACTTGACCTTAACATGTTTTATATTGATTTATCCAAAGCGACTTTAAGCCATGTTTGACTCTTTAAAAGGAGTGGAATTTTGGTAATCATATTATTCAACCATAAATCTTATCCATTTAATATAATAATTCATTTATAATATGACCCACAAGAAAGTTTGTCCTAAAAAGTAGGGTATATCAAAATGTCACCATATTGTAACCACCGCGTCATATAGTTTTTTATTCCACCATATTTTCACGAGTCTAGTCAATGATTACCTTTCTTTATTATTCACAAACCAATCTATACTAAATAAAGATAATATATTTAACAAAAATAATAAATTAATGTTAGAATCATTTTAATAGAAAGAAAAAACAAGTTTTTAGTTGTTTCAAACTAATTTTTATCAAAATTAGTTACTTTGACAATTATAAATAAAAACTAATTTTAGGAATTATTATTAATTTAATTAAATCTACATGAAATTTTATTTTATAATTGATCGAATAGTATTTTATATATATATATATATATATATATATATATAATATTTTTAAAATTAAATAAAAAATTATAAATATAAATAAAATTAAAAAAATGTCTCCTATATTTTTATATATAATAAATATTATATTTATTTTCTTCCATAATTTCTCATTTATATTTTCTTTCTTTTATTCTCTTATTTCTATATTTTCTTATATCTCTTTTTCATTTTTTTTTACTTCAATTTTTTCTATCAAATACTCATTTTGCCTTTTCATATTTTTTTCCTTTTCTTTACCACTTATTTATTTCATATTCTTCTCTTTTATGGTTTCACCTTATTTGTAAGTTGTTCTCTTTATTTTTCAAAAATGTTCTTTATTACAATTTCATCTTTATATCATAAAAACTATAATTTTCTGTCCTTTAGTTTTTTAGTTTATTTTTTCTTCTATAAACATGGAAGGCATAAAACAAGAAATTAAAAAATAAAATATATATTTCACAATAATTTTCTTAAAATAAAGACACAGTAAAAAAATTATTTATTATTTTTATTTATTATGATAAAAATTAGCAATATACAAATATAAAATATTGATATAATTTTTAAATTTGTTATAAATTAGTTGTTTACTTTTATATTTTATAACATTTTATTTTAATATTAAAATATGGAAAAAAATAAATTAAAGTTTAAAGATATTTATAAAAATTATAAACTCATCTTTTAAGAGTAAAAATATGATAAATAATAAAATAAATTTTACTTTCCAAAATTTAAATTAATTTAAATTCAGTTAGTAATGTTGATCATACTTATAAATAATTATTATAATAATAATTATTATTATATCTTGATCTCCTATCTAAAATTTTTTATTTAATCTCTATTTGTAAGTATAAATTAAATTAGTTAGAGCTTATGTTATCACAATGTTTCAAAAGTACTTCCTTATACATGATGTTCAAGAAAAACAATATAGGACTCAAATTAATAAATACGAATTATCATCTAATATTAATAAACAATGGATTGAGTATTTCTTAATATAAGAAGTTATAATCTATAATTTGTCAAATATTTCATATACAAGATTCTTACTCATAACACTTAAATAACTATATAAAAGAATATAACATTATTTTTAATTTAAATTATTATAAGTTAAGAGTTTCTTAAAAATCGTTAAATTTTTCATATTTCTACTTTAAAACATTAAAAAAAAAAAAACATCAATGTCATCATAGAATAAGAAATAAACATCATGAATCAAATCATAAGTCATCCATATCATCATTGTGACTATAAGTGGATGCATAATTCTATTTTAAATTCAATCATTTTAAATTACACAGAATATTCCTTCATGAAAGCATACAGAATGTCCAATATATATTTAATCTTATTCATTGATAATTCCTTAAACCACGTCTTTTATCACCAATATAACAGTATTAAATATAACAATACTCTTAAACTTTATATAAAATAAAGAACTAAAATAAATCTTGTAAGTAGGTACAAAAATATTAAAACCAATAAATGAATAAGAGAAGAAAGACAAAACATTTGATACAAATGTCAAGATACTCAAATTCTTTCGACCTAAAGTTAGTAAAAATCCCTTTATGTTTATTATATAATGTAGAAATGTTGAATTATAATCACTTTTAAACTAAAGAAAGAAAGAAGGAGAGAAAGATATACAAAAGAATTTTATATTAATTAATCTCAAATATAGAGATTACTTTATTGGAAAATTTTCGTTTTCCACTAATAAATAAGGATTATAAGTGTGATTTTTCAAACACGTTTGAATTTTTTATTTTTTTAAATAACTTTAAAATATACTTTACATAATAATAATTAGGGTTTTTGTGGTTTCATTGTTAGTTTAAATTTTCATTAAATAATAATTTGAACCAAAAATAAAAATAAATGTGTTCTAATTCAAATCAAATAAAATCTAGTTTGATTGTTTTAATTTTTTATATTAATTTTATTTATCTAAAAAGCATAAACAGAAAAATAAATATTATTTGGGATATTTGGAAAAAATGAGTATCCATATTGCAGGAAAACCTAATAGGAACATTCTGCTATACATTCTTATACATAGTTTTCGTGATATTAATAATTCACACAATGTAATTAATTATGTATAACTGTTTAAGTTCATTGAATTGCTTTGAAAAATTGAATGTAGACGACATCAATTTAATCATCCATAGCCGTCTCAACTAAGCCCATGTGTTCGCAGCGGTTTTCTAACGATACTTAACCTCCTAACTCGGTATGAATGCATGCAATAGATATTCAACTCTCTCACGCTCACCCAACCTTCTTCTTTTTTTTCTTGCCTTATTTAATCTTTCAACTCCATAGCCACATGAAAATTTCTGCGACTTCATAAAAAAAATTACAATTTCTACGAGTTAATCTTCAGCAATTTAAAACTATATTTAATTTGTTGAAATATGTAGCATCAAAATAATCTACCATGTGACACGTCATGTAACCGAGATCCAGCGCATGACAAACTTCTTAATTTTAGGAATATAATTTCGAGGATCTTGCTTAAGATCACGTCCATTAATAAGAGATTTATATAGATAATAATAACTGAATATAGATATCACGAACAAGGATTTAAGTTCAAGATGAATAGTCAATATAAAGAAATATTATATGATTACAGGAAACGAAAAAAAAAATATATATATATATATATATATATATATATATATATATATATATATATATATATAAGACGTAATACTGTTAATCAAAAGAAACTTTTGGATGAGAACCAAATATAAGTGAGTTAAAATCATGGTATAGAAATAAAAATGTCAGGTAATAAATAAGAGACACTCATAAATTTAAAACTGTTTTAAGTTGAAGATAGATATTATACATGAATTATTTGGTCTTATTTTTAAATATTTCCGGTAAATACCTAACCTAATTGAATGTCATATAGTATGCCTGAGGGAAGCTAAATCCTAAATATGATGAGCAATTAAATTGGACATGTAATTTAGAATAGATTGAAAGTTTTTTTTTTCTTTTTTTCAATTACGTTTTAAGAATTTGAAATTTAAGATAAATTAATTTTTTTTTCTCCAATTTGAAAATTGAAAAAAAGAATAGTCTCTCAAAAATAAATAAATAAATAAATAAATGATTAATTCCTAAGCACTAAATTTAAAAGATTAAAACAATTATAAACATTACATCTCAAATCCCAAGTCTTCAAAGAAAATATTGCAATCTCTCATATTTAATGTTTGTGGACTAAAATAGTTTTTGTTTTATATTGAGGAAGAAATTTTTCTTTTTTCTAATTTGGAATACTACAACAAGAATTATTCCCAAAAGTTTAAGGATTAAAAACATAGTTGGATAGAACTTTTTGTACGATTCATAAGTAAAAATTGAAAACTATTCTTTGGAAATATAAAAATAATCAAAACTGATTGTCTCTTTATAACAAAATCTTCTTCGTAGACATCATCGAGAATCAGACACTTCACTACATATTAAAAGTAAGTTATCTAAATGATTTAATGTTGATTTTCCACAGTCTTGTGATGTTTATGTTAAAGTTCGTAAATATACATATATATACACGGGAGAGGCGTACGGGTAATGTATATTTCTATTGTCTATTTTTATTAGTATTCACACCATATTTCTATTACTTCTTTCAGGCTTATTATTCACTAAATACCATATAATTGTAAAGTACTTTTCCATTGTTTATGTATTACGAAACACAACAACAATGAAAACATACATACCGAAATTTTAGTTTATGAAATGTAATTCAAAACCCTGTAAAATCCTATCACAATCCAAAAATTATTTCAGAATTTAAATTTTATATTGTTAAAATTATATTTCGAAACTAAAATTTGAACAATCGAGTCAATATCCACAATAACGTCCACAAGTTAATTATCGAAAAATATATATTTGCAAATTGGCATGCAACACTGGAACAATGAAGTTGTTTTAGCTTGAAAACAAATATCAGGAAAACACAATATATACAAAATTAATTCTATACTTTCATTGCTTCAGCTCTACCAAATTCCTCAAGTATGTAGTTTTACATACAGAACATGTGTTACCACATTTGATACGAAATTATGTAACTGCAACTTGATAGGAGCAATTTTATTCCTTATTTTGTCTACTGTTAAGCTATATGATCTTGAAATCTTTGAATATATAGTTTATACGACCAAGCCGCATTAATGATCAATGTATAGGTCCGAAAATTATATCTTCTTCCAAATTTTCAATATGGAAAACTTCCTGTCATATGGATATGGTCAAGGGTCCTTTTGAGCCCATACTTGAGCATTGCCTGGTTACCCGATCTGAATCCATCTCCATAAGCCGAGGAGGTATCTGACTCAATCTGGTGTTTAAAAAACTCACCGAGTTTCTTCTCAAAGTTGGACCGTTTCCCCTTCTTCGATGATGCAGTAGAGGAAGAAGGAGACGATGAAGATGAAGACAATGATGATGAAGATGCACCATCATTCCCAGATCCGGAATAGAGCTCGGAATCTAACCACATATGAGCCATCACTTGGCAGATTCCTTCTTCAACTTCTGGACTGAGGTTAGGATAACCTGTCAAAAAAACCAGAAACTTTGACCAACTTGGCACCATGAAACAAAAATATAAACTTTCTGCATTGAATACCTTTAAGCCTAAGCCATGCATGCATCATCTCGTGAGCTAGGATCGATCCTGTTAACAACCTGTAAACATAAAATTCTTGAATTATATATGAGGGAATTGTTAGAATTAATTTAATTAATTCATTCCATTATGTGACTCATGTGAAATATAATAATGGACCCAAATGTGATTTAATAAAATATGAGAACCTATTGGTTATTATGTGAAGTTAGAATAAAATAAAGATAAAATAAAATATTAACTTACGGTAACCAACTTGATGGACGTTGGTTAATAGAATGGAATAAGGGTTCTGTCTCTGGTCATAAAGTTTTTCACGGTAAACCATCAAGAAAGCAAAGCGTGAGAAGAAAAAGAAAGACAAAGAGATAGATTGGGAAAAGGAGATTGGAGAACGAGAAGATTAAAGAATATATTTTCATGGATCAAGGTTAGTTCTCTTATTATGATTCATGTATGTTATGTTGTGAAAATCAATAATCTAAAGATCCTGTAGAGTAGTTTTCCATAATGAATTAAGAACGTAGGAAAACTACATATTGTTTTACATGTGGTATCAGAGCACTGATTATTAGATTTATGATTTTCCTTGTACGAAAGTTTTCCCAAATATTAAGTTTTTCCCAAATTAAGATAAACCCTAATTATGAATTTAGGGATTTCTTTATCAGATTAGTACGAACCCTAATTTATTCCCAAATTTATTTTTCTCAAAATTAAATAAAGGAATAAACCCTAATTATGTTTTCAAGTTCAAATTGAAACCAATTTTATAGCCCCTATGCGTGAATGAACCCATAATTGATTTTAATTAAAAAGACAAATGACGTGATAGGGTTAGGGTGAATCATGTATGAAATTAGTTTTATTGTATATTATAATTATGATGGAAGAATGGTAAACTGTAAAGTTGATAAACTTTGCGCGTAGAGAGCACGTGTTAAACACACGTGTTAAACCCATATTATTTGTACATTATTTTGTACGTACATATTTTTTTTTTGTGGGGGAAGGATAATTAAAGAGTTATTTTTATGTCACAGTGAGTTGTATAATATACTCATACTGTAAAACGGGTACTGTAAAGCTTTGTTATGGGTACCTTAAATTTGTTAAGGTACTGTAAAGTTTTGTTAAAGTTGTTAATGTATTATGAAACTTTGTTAAGGTTGTTAATATAATGCTTTGTTAATGTACTGTGAAGCTTTGTTAATGTACTGTGAAGCTTTGTTAATGTATTGTAAAACTTTGTTAATGTACCTATAATGTAAACATTGATAAATGAATGAATCTTGTTTTGCAAACTGAATTGTATTGTTTCCGCTGTGTTTAAATTACTCATAAAAGTTTTCAATGAATGACAATTTCACTTTTACGTGAAATGCAAATAAAGGTCTTGGATTCAAAATCAATCTTAGGATGAAAATTGAAATTATGAGTTTCAATTTTATTTATGGCACATAATATTTTATTATGTGAATAATGTACATATTTATTAAAATTAAAAAAAAATGCTATGAATGGTTAATAGCAATTAAAGATATTATTTATTTGAAATTAAGCATGTTAAATTTTGTTAGTCACCAAAGTGGCCAAAATTTTAAGGTTATTTTGATTTCAAATTATTAATGATTTTATTTCAATTACCCATAGTATGAATGCTAAAATTATGAATAATGATTTATGGGTTAATTGAAGTTCTTTATTATAAGGCATTTCGGGATCACCCAAAGGTTGATTAGTTGTTATTATAATTAATGAACATGAAAGTAGATAATTTTGTGTGCGTCACTAGTTTTATTTATATACCCAAAGGTTTTAGGTGATTCTAGTTGATGCATATTTTAATTATCATTAATGTTATAAAAAGATTAGCGTAATTATGTTTGTGTATTAGTGGATCTCCCAAAGGAGAACATTAGTATGCATAGAATGGTTATTTATGTTTGAATCTGTATTTATGTTTAGTTTTTATGACTCAAAGCGTTAATGTTAGGCATGTGTTAATTGAAATATTTGTTTATATATTTCTACATTCGCTTACTTCGTCTGTTCCAGTCTTTAATAGATTTAATTCCTTGACTGGAGTGAGAAAGTCCAATTTCACTTAGGTGAGTTGGATTTTGATTTGCCTTTCCAAGTTGAAAAACCGGCTGCTATCACTAATGCTAGTAGCAACAAAGAGAAAACTCATTATAGAGTTTGGAAAAGGTCAAACAGACTTAGTCTTATGTTTATGCGAATGAGTATTGCAAGCAATATTAAGTATGTTTTTTCCAAAACTAAGGACCTGAAAGAATTTATGAAATTTGTGGAAGAGCGCTCTCAAACTGCTGACAAATCCCTCGCTGGAACATTGATGAGTACGTTGACCACCATGAAATTTGATGGTTCTCGTAGTATGCATGAACACGTAATCAAAATGACAAATATCGCAGCAAGACTCAAGTCTCTTGGAATGGCAGTGGAAGAAAATTTTCTTGTGCAATTCATTTTGAACTCGTTACCGCCTGAGTATGGTCCGTTTCAAATGAATTATAACACCATGAAAGACAAATGGAATGTGCATGAATTGCACAGTATGTTAGTTCAGGAGGAGACCAGACTCAAGAACCTAGGAAGCCACTCTATTCATTACGTGAAAAATCAAGGAGCTAAAAAGAAAGTTGTTAAGAAACATGGAAAGGGTAAAAGACCATTAAAGATTAACGAGTCCTCTACTAACATTCAGAAGAAAAATGACAAATGTCATTTCTGCGGGAAGTCTGGACATTTTCAGAAGGACTGCTTAAAGCGTAAAGCTTGGTTCGAAAAGAAAGGTGAGCATAGTGCTTATGTATGTTTTGAATCAAATTTAATCGAAGTTCCCATAATACTTGGTGGATTAATTCGGATGTACGACTCATGTTTCTAATGTGATGCGAGGATTCCTTTCAACCGAACCATAAACCCAAATGAGAAGTTCGTCTTCATGGGAAATAAAGTCAAGGTTCCGAGTGGAAGGCTGTCGGAACTTATCGTTTAATCCTTGATCATTGGATCTCACTTAGACCTTATGGATACTTTTTATGTACCTAGTATCATTAGAAATTTAGTTTCTTTGTCTAAGCTTGATGTTGCTGGATACTCTTTTAAGTTTGGGAATGGTTGTTTCAGTTTGTTTAAGCGTACTTCTATGATTTGATATGGTTAGGAGTATGATAAGTAATTCATGTTTACCGTATCGTTGTGGATGTATGCTTTAAAGACGATCATGTATTTGTTGAACAGGGTTCCTAGTAAAATTGTTCAAAAGATTTTTGAGTTATGGAAAAGTAGGAAACCTAGTTTGAGACACACTGCTTGTTTGGGGTAGTCGAGTAAGTAAGAATTTATAATCCACAAGAAAAGAAAGCTGGATGCAAGAACAATCAATGAATATTTCATTGGTTATCCGAGAAAAATCAAAAGGGTATATGTTTCATTGTCCTACCCATAGTACAAGAATTGTTGAAACTGGAAATGCTCGGTTCATTGAAAATGGTGAAGCCAGTGGGAGTGAAGCTTCACGAAATGTGGAGATTAAGGATGTTAGAGTACAAGTTCCAATAACTAGTACATCTTCAAGAGTTGTTGTTCCAAATGTTGTAAAATCACACAACAATAAAGAAGAACAACAAATTAATGATCTCGAGATTAACAATGAACTGATAATAGAACAATCACAAGAAATAATATTAAGAAGATCTCACAGAGAAAGAAAGTCTGCTATTTCGAATGATTACGTGGTTTATCTACAAGAGTCAGAAAATGACCTAAGTATTGATAATGACCCAGTTTCATTTCCAGACGTCATTAATGGTGATAATTCTGACAAATGGTTAGATGCTATGAAAGATGAGCATAAATCAATGACACATGATGGTGTATGGGATCTTGTGGAATTGCCAGAAGGATGCAAGAGTGTTGGGTGTAAATGAGTCTTTAAGACTAAGCGTGACTCTCATGGCAATATCGAACGTTACAAGACCCGTCTTGTTGCCAAAGGTTTTACTCAGAAAGATGACATTGATTATAAGGAAACATTTTCACCTATTTCTAAGAAAGATTATTTTAGAATTATCATGGCATTAGTAGCTTATTATGATCTTGAGTTGCATCAAATGGATGATAAACCTGTTTTTCTGAATGGAGATGTAGAGGAGGATGTTTATATGAATCAACCAGTGGGGTTTATTGAAGAAGGAAAGGAACATATGGTGTGTAAACTTAAGAAATCAATATATGGACTTAAATAAGCTTCTCGACAATGGTATCTTAAGTTCAATGATACTATTTTGTCCTTTGGATTTAAGGAAAACACTGTTGATCGGTGTATATATCTGAAGGTCAGTGGGAGCAAGTTTATATTTCAGATTCTGTATGTTGATGATATCTTGCTTGCGACTAATGATCTTGGTCTATTAAGTGAGACTAAGAAGTTTCTCTCTAACAACTTTGAAATGAAAGATATGGGTGAGGCATACTATGTGATAGGAATAGAAATATTCTGTGATAGATCACAAGGACTGTTAGGTTTGTCTCAGAAAGCATATATTAATAAAGTTTTAGAGAGATTCAGAATGGAGAATTGTTCTGCATCTCCCGTTCCAATACAGAAAGAAGACAAAATTAGTCTCATGCAATGTCCAAAGAATGACTTGGAACGGAAACAAATGGAAAATATCCCTTATGCATTTGTTGTTGGCAGTTTGATGTATGTTCAAACATGTACGAGGCCAGATATTAGCTTTGCAGTTGGTATGCTAGGTAGATACCAGAGTAATCCTGGATTGGATCATTAGAAGGCTGCAAAGAAAGTTTTAAGATACTTACAAGGAACAAAAAATCACATGCTTACTTATAGAAAAGTTGATCACCTTGAGGTGATTGGATATACAGATTTAGCTAGTTATATGGATACACGAAAGTCTACATTTGGTTATGTGTATCTTTTAGCCGGAGGAGCGATTTCATGGAAAAGTGCGAAGCAGTCTGTCATTGCTGCATCCACCATGGAAGCTGAAATTGTGGCATGCTTTGAGGCCACAGTTCAAGCTAATTGGTTGCGGAATTTTATTTCAGGACTTGGAGTAGTCGACAGCATTGCCAAGCCGCTAAAAATTTATTGTGACAATTCCGCAGCAGTCTTCTTTTCTAAGAACGACAAGTATTCTAAAGGTGCTAAGCATATGGAATTGAAATATTTTGTCATTAAAGAAGAAGTTCAGAAACGTAGAGTGTCAATAGAACATACTAGCACTAATCTTATGATTGTTGATCCTTTAACAAAGGGATTATCGCCCAAATTATTTGCTGGCCATATAATGAATGTGGGCATTATGTTCACTAGTGAATGTTGAATGTTAATGTTATTATTAATGTTTATGTGACACTCTGAGATCTTTAACGTATAAGTTTCTGAAATTTGTGTTTTCTTCTTTATTTATATGCATGCAAATTATGATGAAGAAAACAAATTATGTTATTATTTTTAAAATGATATTATGTTTGAACCCATTATGGACTTCTCATTATAAATTCATATTAAGGAGAAAGAGATAATATAGTGGTACATGGAAGGGAGCCTGTCGATTGAATGACATGTAATCGCCATGACTCTTGTTATAGCTGTATCTTTAATTATGAATGATGATAGAACCAATTTATGTAAGGTCCTTTAATGCGCATTATGACTTAAGTATTAAATCACAGAATCGTATGACATCACATGAGTCAAGTGGGAGAATGTTAGAATTAATTTAATTAATTCATTCCATTATGTGACTCATGTGAAATATAATAATGGACCCAAATGTGATTTAATAAAATATGAGGACCTATTGGTTATTATGTGAAGTTAGAATAAAATAAAGATAAAATAAAATATTAACTTACGGTAACCAACTTGATGGACGTTGGTTAATAGAATGGAATAAGGGTTCTGTCTCTGGTCATAAAGTTTTTCACGGTAAACCATCAAGAAAGCAAAGCGTGAGAAGAAAAAGAAAGACAAAGAGATAGATTGGGAAAAGGAGATTGGAGAACGAGAAGATTAAAGAATATATTTTCATGGATCAAGGTTAGTTCTCTTATTATGATTCATGTATGTTATGTTGTGAAAATCAATAATCTAAAGATCCTGTAGAGTAGTTTTCCATAATGAATTAAGAACGTAGGAAAACTACATGTTGTTTTACAGGAATGTCATATTCAAGCACTGTAGATTATGAAGTAGATTGCATACGAAGGATACCTGGGAAGGCCATACAAAACTAGAATGGCTGTCACTTCACAACGACGGATCAGCTTATAAGGTTCAGTTATCATGTCTATGACTCGGTAGCCAGCACCGATCCTTGGCCTCCTTGAAATCTAGTATTATATGAAATATATAAAAGTAATAAAATCAGTATTTGATAAACAGATCTTCAATAACAGAACTAGATGTGTGAAGACTCAATTTGTAAGTGAGAAATCCTACAGTGGTGACAGTTTGCTCTTCTGACAAGCAGAGTCCTCTAGTTTCAGGTAAGTGATGATGACCCTAGATTCAATAGAGAGAAACAAAGGAACATCTGGAAGTCAGGACAATAGAAAAACAGGGGAAAGAAAGAATAGAAATAACACTCCATGAATGAAATTGAAATTTAAACATATTAACACTTGCATTCTTTTCTCCCTCCATAGCCTCATTCAGAGCTTGTCTCTCAACCAAGAGCATAGGAATTTGCTGCTCCAATTTCATATTTAAACCTTCATAAAATTCTTGTATTTCAAGGTAGAGAGGTTGGCATTCATGAGTATCCATAATAGATGAGTCTAGACACTCTAAACATAGCTTTCGACCATCATCAAGCAAAAGATATTTTGCATCCCTTGGCTGCACTGATCGAAAAGACAAAAGAAGGAAAGGAACGGATCCATCAGTAAGCTCCTAATTGTAAATAAAAGGATGAAATGTTTTGGAAGCTAATATTACTGACCTCCATTCTTTCACAGCTACAGCATCGAGGAGTGCCATCAAGCTCATGAGACGGGCAGTACTTTTGTAGCCAGAAAGGATGAGCTCTATACTCAATGAGGCCAGATGAATTAGTTGGGATCTGCAAACAAAGAACCAATCATTTTAGTTCACTGAACAATAAAATACAATATTGTAGCCTTAAGTAGCTCATCCAAGATTTTCTGTAAAGTCCTAAGGTCCCGTTATATAAACTTTTACACTAGAAATCATAAGAAAAGAAAATAATAAAGTAAAATAAATTAACCTTCTCCATAAATTAAAATCAACTTACGCAACTTTGCTTTTGAAAAAAGCTAGACAAAATAACTTCTATGAAGGGCATAAGTTGAATTTAACTTGTGGAAGAAGTTTGACTTCTTATTTTCTTCTTCCAAAGTGCTTATGAAAAAAATTATTTAAACTGGGGAAATTAAGAAATATGAAATTACTACAACGGACTCATGAAGGAATTCAAGCTAATTCTTCAAATATAAGAAGCACTGGACTTGTATTGTGTTAGGAGACTAAAATCTTTGTCGATTGGGAAAATAATTAATACACAGGAAAATCCCCTCGGCCACGGATCCAACACTCAAGTTTCTGAATTAAAAAAACACCTTACTGGGCTGTCATAATTACTAATCCTAATATATTGCATTCCTAACATTAAGATTTTAGCCTACATGTGTATAAATCCAATAAACCAATCTGAACCAATTCAATCGATTAAAATAGACCAGTTGGGATTTAAAGATGCTACAAACCTGATCCAAATTGATTCGTGATTACCCCTAAATATAAAGGCTAAAACAACTACTTGATCAAGAATAGCTTTGAATTCTCTGATCTGTCTAAGAAGTGAAAACAACTCAATATCAACAGTCTTCAATGTATATGTATATTCTTGAGCATTTCTAAAGCACATAAAAAATGATAGAAACCTTTGAAAGAAAAGAAGCACACAGAATTGACTAATAGACTACTGAAAGTTCAAAACAGCTGTGAAGATACTTACAAAGTTCTTGCAAACATCACATCTGGGGTGATGTTTCTCCCTATAGCATGATTTATGGAAGGGGCGATTGCTAGACATGGAAAACTGTAACGAAACGATTAAGCATAATCACATTGAGATTCACCAAAAATGATAAATCATTTGAAAACCTTCATTTATGAAGCTAAGAATAATTTTCTACTTTTTCTTTAACCAAAAAAAGGAGGTTTCAACTTATTGTTTTGGGAAGCAAGCACCAAAAGAAAACAACATTCTAATTCTAACCTCATAATCAGTAATTGGCAGACGGCATGCATGGCAGCAGAAGCATTCTGGATGCCAGACACCTCCCATGCAACTTAAAAATCTTCCTTGACCAATCTCAGTCTTGCACCCAGCACAGATTCTGCAAGCAGATTTACAGAAATATATTAAATCTTTGATTTTAATCATTATGAAAGATTCATGAAACATTGAAAAAATATTAACTTCTCGATCATATGGATCCACAATATTGCAACAGAGGAGACTATTTCGATTTTTTTAGGTGATGATAAACTCCAAGATATATTCCACGGGAAATGCTTATGGATCATCATAAACAAGATTGAAAGGTACTTGATAACACTAAGGAAAACCAACAGAGACCAAGGTGTTCTTCATAAAATCCCAATCCAGTGTTTATCCAGTTCAATGATTCAGATTTGAATCTTTTAAAACAATATTGATAACTTTCCATGAAGGCCAGATCAGTTAGTTGTATAACCAATCACTGAAATCAATTAAAATTGGAGTTTCAAAACATGTTCTGTTTGGAATGTTTCACATTTGACACACACATGGCGTTATTGGTCCCTTCATTTAGAACTAGTGAATTCAGCAATTTCTATAAACGTAGAAGGAAGGATTTGTTATATGTGCTCGTGCGCAAAGTTACCTGTATCCAGGAGGAAAGGGGTGAGGATAAGATAGAAATGAAGAATCATTGTCAGATCCAGGAGAAGAACCAATGGTCAAACTTTCTTGAATTGCCCTAGCAAGTTGCTCATCTTCCTCAAGTTGAGCTTTAGCAAGACGTTCAACTTCAGCTTGTTGAATTTTAGCAAGACGTTCATCTTCTTCTTGTTGAAGTTTAGCAAGTTGTTCATCTTCTTCTTGTTGAAGTTTAGCAAGTTGTTCATCTTCTTCTTGTTGAATTTTGGCAAGATATTCATCTTCCTCGTCATCAATTTTACAAAGTTGCTCATCTTCAGATTGAGAGTCATCCTCTAGGGTATTATGTGACAAAAAACATGAGACATTTTGGTATATGCTTGGGAGTGGAAATAATAATTGATTAACACGTTCACTATATGTTGATTAACGCATTCAATTTTGTAATTTTGGTATATTTGCATTTCCTATATATGTATGTCTTCCCAACCTCTAGGCATAACAATACAGGAAATAATGCATCAGGTATGTAAAAGCTTGTAATATGAGCGTTTTGGTTAGATAAGTTTAGGTACCTCATGCAGTGTGCAGAATCATAATGGCATAATTATAAATCTTACCAACAACTTTTTTCCCTTTCGGATCCTCCTGTGACAGGGAGAGTGCAATTGCACGGTCAATGTCTTCTTTCTCAATATCCGTTAAGTCATCCTGCATTCAGTTTGCAACTATTACAATTCAAATTATCTGCTTAAGAATCAGAGGAACTAGTACCTTGATAGCTTCTTGCTAAAGTTAAATAAAAGGCTATCTCGATGACAAGATATGTTGTGAATTATGACAATGATTTTAATTCTTACTAGAAAGGAAAACTTTGATTACCATTGAAATACGATGGTCATCCCAAATTCTGTCCTCTCCAAATTTGCCTTGGTATTGCCCAAGTGAAATATGATCAGAACCCTTAAGCAACTTTCTAAACCAACCCATTTCATGCAAAATTATTCACCTTCAGGTTGGCAAACCTTTTGTCAGAAAATATGCACATCAAGTAGGCACAAAAATATATTCCACCAGTTATATATAGAAGGAAAGTCTTCAGACTATTAAGCTATAGAAAAAGTAAATGCTATGCCTTGATTCCAAACTTCAAAACTCAAATTCAGCAGCATGATCATCCTTCTAGAAGCTTTTAACCAGTATCAACTATAATATTATACGCAAATACTTTCACTGGAAAAAATTTGTTACGACACTAAGGCAAATAACAGTGATAGAACAGGCAGACCAGTAGAGATTGGGAAGACATACATGTATAGGAAATGTGTCAAGTGCAAAAGGAGAGCTTGAGAAGTGAAAATCTCAATCATGGATGATTAAAAATAATCGAAAAAATATTGATTGTTTGTGTATGGCTGCAGGAGTGATTCTCAGCCGAATGAATAATTGAAATAGAAGATTAAAAATTCAATTTGATCACTCGTTTGGTTTTTATAGGTAGTTACAAAAAAAAGTCCCTTTTAGTTCAAATACTTAAAAAGCGTCCCCTTTCAATTCCTACATATATCCTTTTTAATTCATTGCGGTCTTAGAGGGACTAAAATAGATGAAAATGGTATAGACAGAGACTAAAAGGGATACAAAATGTGAAGTGTAGAGACTAAAAGAAGATGTTTTCATGTACAAAAACTAAAAGGAAAAGTTTATGTAAATATAGGGACAAAATGAACAGTTAAAGCTTAAAATTAAAATTAAAACAATCTCCATCACCTATATGTGGTTGTATGAAAAAATGACTAAGATTTATTTGTCTCCCCACACCTCTCACGCTCTCATTAGATACGTCAATATTGTGTGTTGCAGGGAAAGGAAAAGTTACCGAGACTGACAAAAATATTATCACGCAACTGATATATGGCTTCTCAGAAAAACTTGCAATATGTGTAAGTTCAAAAAGAAAAACTGCTAATGAAGAAAATACAACAGAACAAAAGAGGAAAAACAAATTTCAATAGCTAATCTTTCCTGTAAAATCCCAACAATAGGATATGAATACAGTCTTGTGCACGAACACCAGCATCGTCAAATCTCAAACTAAGCAAACAAGAACAACTTCGAATTTCCAGTTACACGTACCTGTTAGCTCAAATTTCTTCACTTCCGCAATACCCACTATACCGTTGGATAAATAATTCAAACCCAAGATAAATTTCTTCAGGGGAAAAAAAAATCACGGCACTCACGATTGAAGATAGCGAAAGTAAGAAAGAAAAAGGAAAAATAGAAAGTTCGAAGATTGAAGTGAGCAGGAAGAGATTAAGAATCTGTGGTAACAACGAAATCTGATGAATCAGAATTTATGAAGTAATGAAAGACACAATCATAAAGAGATTAGAGTAAAGTAGTGTATATACCCTGGAACTAAGTGCCTATTGGAACCAAAAGAAAGAAAGAAAAGAGAGGAGTAGTACATAGATTCTAAGCAAAAAGGGGTAATAAAAAAGGTAAATAGGAACAGTGGAATCTTTTTAAGGTAATATTATAATTATGAACGTTCCTTCAAAAAAGATAGGTTGGGGTTGAAGATAGAGGATCGTAGAGGAGAGGAGAGGGAGCTGAATTTCAGTGTCTATTAAGCATGTGGGTCATCTTCCTCTGTCAGTAACCAGTAAGGAAAAAGTTACACCTTTTCTTGTTGTAGTGGGAAGAAGAAGACAAAGAGAGAAGTAGAATATCATTAATTGAAAAATGGTTTCGAAAATAGATCTATTTTTGTTTGTTTTTTATTCATTAATAATGTATAGGAAATGAAAAGAAAAGGTCTTATTTTATTATTTATTATTTAAACAATGATTAGGTTTTTCATTTTATGTTTTCTTATATCAAATTTATTATATTTGTTACATTATACATTGTTATTTTTTTCTTTAATCTCATGTTTTCTTAATTTGTTTTTTCTTTAAAAAATACATTAAAAAAGTCCATATATTAATTCTAACAAGTATATAACACCCTCACCATCACCGTCTTTAAATTAATTATTTCATGTGAATTACACAAATTTGTTTTTCAATATTTGTATTTGAAGATTAATAAGAATTTTAAAACTCATAACAATCAATTATGCTAGAATAATGGAAACCTAGACAAAAATATAATTAATTTTATGAAACTAAGTGAAACGCTTAAACAGTATTAATGGACAAGATAAGTGTTCTTTTCTTCAATATTTGTATTTAATGAACTTTTAATTTTGTTAGACAGTTAGTATAAAAGCACAAAAATGTCTTTAACGGACAGTAAAAGCTTAACACAGTGTCTCAATGTTACAAATTTCTAGAAAAATTACGTAACTAATACTTTTAAGTAAATAATTATAAAATTATATTTTTTTAAATAATATTAAATGATTATTTTAAATGTTTATTATAATGATTTAACGAAATAACATGAAACTAATAAAAATGTATAAAAAATATGGACTAGTCTAGCAAGTGGGCCGGAGGTGTACAAGAGCCCAAAAACCTAACTAAACCAAAACCAAATTAAACAAAAAACTAATGGTAAATACAAGTAGATAACTTCCATTTTGTATTTTCGCAAAAAAATAACTTTAATTATTACCAGCAGAATTAGATAATAAAAAAAACTTAACTAAATTAAAATGAAATAAAAATATTTTATAAATGAAAAGGGATTTATTTTCAACTTCATCTGTTAGAATAAGGTACTTTAGTTTATATTTAAATTTAATCGGTTTAAAATTCAAATAATTTTTTAAATATTAGTTTTGGGTTTTTTTATAAGAAACTATAACTAATAAAACTTGTTGAATAATACATTTTCATAAATTAAACTACATTTAAAAAAAATGAAACATAACAAAAATTTCAAAATGTACCTGAAGTTAAATTAAAAATTAATTAAAAATGAAGTTATTAAGTTATAAATGTTTGATAAAATTATAGTAAAAATAATTTATAAATGTAACATGATAAAAAGAACAAATTTATATAATATTTTTGGTACAAATTTAATTTCACTTCTTTTGTCCCGATATTTATAAGTTTAGTTTAGTTTTAAAAGTGTTGCAAGGTTTAATAAATAAAAACCACATTTTTTTATTCAATTATTATATTTGATATCATGCATTGTATTATGAATCTTGTAAACCAAGTTTAAAATAAGATTGTTGGACCATAGCCCTCTCATATAGTCACATATCATATGTAATATGTCCCATCTATGTTCCATTGAAATAACCAAAGATAAAGATAAGTGTAGATTTGAAAGGCAATGAATTTGAGGACCCCCACCCTAGTTTTTAGGTGATGTAAACTCACAAGTCACCATCATAACGTGTCTCGGAGGTGACCGCATGCTGGCTTTTGAAGTAGGTTAGATTGCTTTTATGCAGGAATTTAAACCATGAAAAGCCACTTGTTTTCACAATGATATGATATCATTTCACATATCATTATGAAATTATATAAGGAGAAGAAAAAATATCCCAAATTATTTCACCTCTTTTCTTCCATACATAAATATAATGGATATAGAAACACATAAACAAAATGAAACTCTAACTTAATAATAATTATACCTTCTCAACATTTACATTAACAATAATATAAATTAAAATAAATTTAAACAAAATACTCAGGTTTTTTCATAAATTTACTCTGTTTGAACTATAGTTAGGATAATAATCAATTGTATTTGTTTAATATATACTATAACTTAACAAGAAATCTAAGACCAATATACTTTTATTCATTAATTAATAAAAATAATAATTCTTATTATTATTATTATCTACGTCTGTTTTCTGGAGATGATTAATTGTATTTACTTACTCTCTTTTTTCTCTCTCCAAATACCATAACATTTATGTTTTGTTAAAATTATTAACTATCTGTTAATGCCTATTAGAATAAAAGAGCTGTCAATTTTCTATTTATAGCATATAGGAAGTTAGGGTGCACACATGTGCTATTTTTCCATTTGAGAATAAGGTGATGTTGCTACCCAACATTCTTCTAAACCTGTATACAAGAACGACAATATATATTCCCATGTTCTCTTTTTTATTTAATTAAAAAGTATAGGTTAATTAAATCTTCAAGATTCACTGCAATTAAAAAGACATTTTATTGAAATGATCTATCGCTAGAAATATAACTAAATTATAAATTATTTTTAAAAAATTAAGTTAGAATTTTTTTATTTTGATATGATATTAAAACTAATTTTAATAATATTAATATTTTCTGTAATTTGTTAATAATTTTTCAACAAATAACCTAGATTATTATTGAGTCACTTATATCTTTAATATGAAAGGTGCATTGATGGTTGTGATATTAAGGAAAAGGTCTAAAACAAGTGTTGCGAGAAGTACTGAAATGATATAAATTGGTTCATATACAGCTCTGGACAGTATTTTATATCAGAAATTAAAATGGTTAGACTAACTAACCTAATTAAAATAATCAAACTTAAATTTTTACTAATATAATAAATAAAGAATTTTAAAGATTTTTTTTTAATTTTATCTTTTATCTTATCTTCAGAAAATGATATCATCATTGAAATAAATCACTCATTATCTGTTATTGGGTCGCTTATATTCTCTAAAAAAAAACAGTGTGTTGAAAATGAAAGATTACTCGTATCCTCCATAAGAAGTGTATGTTGATAAATTATAGTATACCGGTGATACATAAATATTTTTTACAAGTTCATTTTGTAAAATCAAGATAAAATGTCTTTAAAAAATTAATATATGTGAAGGTTTAAAAAGTATTTTTAAGAAAATTTTAGATAATTTATCAATATATTTTTTATATCGAGAATCAGATTCAAACTTACATGTATAACGAATTTTTATTAATTATCGTTCACCAAACTGAAATTCCATTCAAATATAATTTGTTAATAGCCCACAGTATATAGCTATCTCAGCTTAGAAATGAAGTTATTCAAAACCTGGCTAATTTAGAATTGTTTTTATTAAATATTTATATACATTTTTTTTTAATTTAGAGTTAAATTGTATTTTATGAGGAAGACTTAAAAAAAATGACATCAATTGATTTTAATTCATATGAAAAAAATTACCTTTATTATTTTAATTGTTTATTTTTAAAACCTTCTTACAAGTTCTTATTCAAAAATTTATTTTAATCCCACTTGAATAAATATAGACATATGTCTTGAAATATTTAATAGGACAAAAAATACAACGGACGCAGAAATATTAATTAATTCAACAATTTGTAATATTTATATATGATACTACAACCAACTACTGCCAATGTTTTTCCTCTTAAAAATCCTTTAGCTAGGTTCCCAACTGTTATAATCAACCAAGAAAAGAGAAATTTGTCCTTTTTTTAAATATATATATTATATACGGTGTTTATAATATTATGCATGGTTGTCTCTCTATATATATTATTTCTAACTAGTCCCACATCACCAATACGACTTCTTGTTCCCAATAAAATTTTGAAGACTAAACTATAAACAATATGGTGGAATATTCAGATGGGAAGAGCGAACATTTAATAAGATGATAATATACAAAGAAGAAGAAAATTGCATGATTTGAATATTATTTGCAACAAACACATATATTTAAATGTGAATTAATTAAAGTAATTGACGTAAACAGACAACCTTAAATATAGTTTAATGGTAAAATCATAATTACCCGTAATGAGTATTTAGATAGAATAATAGAAGAGCATAACAAAATCGGAAAATGGTAAGTAGAAAATTACGTAAACTAATATTTGAAAATGGAGGAATTCCTGTGGTGAAGAAATGGTGACGTTGACAAATTTATAAATAAATAAAAAGTTGGAATTTTGAAGTAGAAAAATGGTTGAATAAGATACAAATGTTAAATTGAAATAGTAATTGACGTTTGTTGGTTTGCTTGAAATACAAGGAGGAATTGGGATAGAGAAAGTAGAGAAAGTTGGAATTGTTATATTTAAAATGTAAGTAGGAAGTAAGTAGGTATGGCTAGGTTGAGCAATCTTAAGACTCCAATTAACTACTCATTACTCAAACACTCAATTGAGAAGAGGAAAACCAAACACTTTGCATTTGTTTCTCCAACTGCAATTAAACCGGAAGAAGAATTGACAGCTCAACTTCTTCTTCTCCAGTGTTGTCAACCATCGTCTTTGCGATGATGAGTCACGTGATTCTCACACTCTCCTCACACGTACGCTCGCATGGTCCCTTTGCTTTGGGCAGGGACCATTTCATCATTGCCACAACCTAATTATGCCTTATATCCTCCACTCACGTGCCAAAGTCGGCTACGCACGTGTCTTCAATTTATGCATGCTAGTATTGGTTAAACATTTATTTTCTCCTCTCTCCTACTTTTCCAAGTTTCATTACGTTTATATGCTTGTAAACATTTTTAAAGTTCACGTTCTCAGTTGCAAGTGCCGCACTGCTTTGGGAAAGTTAGAAGGAACAAGAGCCACCCCTTTGCTTTTAATTTAGGTGCCTAACTAAACTTTCAAAGCCCAAACGCCACACAATATTGCCTCACTCCTTCGTTTTCCCTTCTCCCATCACTCTCTCATTTCTATTCAACCAGATACAAAACCTCACCATCCAACCACTTTTTATCTGCACCACACACACTCCAATCCCTACACACTTACTTTCAACTATAACATTTTCATGCACCAAATCACATTTTTCCTCCATTTCAACCACATTCTGATAGCTATTTCAAGCACATATAATGGTAATGAAGTGAAGGAGATGTTTTAATTCTAAGTGCACTATTTTCCTTTATATTCTACTGTTCAGATTACCTTGTGGAGTAACTGGTCTAGACCCCACATGTTCATCATCAACTTCATTGGTTAATTCTTGAAAAATTATTGGTTCTTAATTATTGCTACTAGTTTGCAGTTGTTATACTCAATAATTCAGTGTGCATGTATAACTAGTGTTTTACTGTTTCATTTCATTTTGTTTTTTCCTTCCAATTAATCTCCCCTACAAACAATATCCTTGATTAAGTAATAATTGTTTCTCTTTCCTATGTAGGGTCCATGTCATATTAGTAACCAAAGTATCTGATTTTATTTTTTCTTTTTAAATTGGATCCATGTCATATTTCTTTTTTCAACTTCTGTGACCTTTTTTTTAATCTAAATCTGGATGGATTTTGAAAATCTAAAAAAATTTACGTGCTTTTACTATTATTCTTTATTTCTACACCCCTTCAATCAATAGGATTATGTTGTTCTTTTAAAAACTGGGTTATTAAAAAATATAGCAGTTGATTTTTTTTAACGACTAAAAGTTCAATCTATTAGTTTTTTTTTTTACTTTTATAAAGTTTATAATAAATTCTATATAAATGTATAAATTATATTTTAATCTTATAATAAATATTTTATATCATGATATAACATTATTTATAATTTTTAAAATTTTAATAATATATATATATATATATATATATATATATATATATATATTTTTATAATATATGAAATATTGTGTTCTTATTTTAAAAATATTGTCATATCCGCGTTGTTGTATTAAATACAGATTGCAAATACTCCCTAATTAAGAGAATCAAAGGAAGGAAAACTCGCATAAAAAGAATAAAATTCGTTTAAAGCATTACATGTGCTCCATTGATATTTATGGTTGTTGTATAAAAGGTAGCTTTATTAATTAGGGCACATATAAGCTTTCTATAAATTTTTATAGAAAAAAATAGATAAATAAATTTACCTTGTTACTAGTTAAAATTATTTTATATATAAATTGAATATTACAAAATTTCTAAAATTATATGAAAGAATTTTTATCAATTAATTTTAAAAAAATATATTTTTCACATGATTTTCCTTTTTTTTTTTTTAAATTCACACTAGTGTAAAAATATAGAAAAAAAAACATGGCTTTTAATGAGTTATTAGGGAATCATAAGAAAAAATAAACGACAATTTTGAAAATAATTTAATTTTTCAATGACGGCTGACATTCACTCATTATCCTATGTTCTTATGTATGTGTGAGATAGGAGGATATTTAATAACAGAGTTTTTTGAGCCGTCATATCTCATATATAACTGATGGTTGATCTTAGAATTATGGTTGTATTTCCTATTATATTATTTAACTTTTGTTTCATTTTCATTTACATGACGGAAAACTTATTTTCTCCCATTCTTTGTCATTTATGACGTTGTTTGCGAGCCATGTTCTCCTTCCTCTTCTTCTCTCCACAAATGGTCTTCGTCGTCAACGCTTCTTCTTACTCCCTCATATTGTTCACAAGTTCCTTCCTAGTCTGTCTCCTACCCTTTGCGAGTCTTCGTATTCTCCCTTCCTGTGTGTGAGTTGCATCTTCTTCCCCTTCTGTGGTGAGAGTGATGCTGGACAATATTGTGTGGTGGAACGAGTGATTGCCATAGTGGCACTTTTCCTTTTTAATTTTTTGTTGTGATTCTAATATGTTCACACTGATTTTGTACTATTGAACAATTGATTTTGAGTCTAGATATTTATCCTCAACAAACTGTATTATTATAATTTTGAAATATTTATATTTTAGATGTTATGTTCAAATTTTAAATTTTTTTAAAACAAATGCTTAATAATATACAAAACGTATGTATATATGATTAATTATGTATATATAACTTATGAGTATTAAAAAAGATTTTGATTTTTCACCATTTGTATAATGCAACATTTTTACTAGTTTTGATAATGGAAAATTTAGGTACCCCTCTTTACTTTGTGATAGTTTTTTATTAAGATCATTTTGTATCTTTCAATAATTTGAAAATTCAAGTATTTGTTTGAGAATCCTAAATGTTAAATATTTATGAATAATTACATTTTTTTTAATAAATATTTTAGCATCTACTCCATTACAATTTTAACTACTGTGTATATGTGTTTAATGTAATCGTCATTGACAATTTCTTATGATATTCATGGTTAATAACATGATTGCATAATTTTATTTATTTGATAACATGATTTTATTTGTTGTACAAAAATCACTTATATTTGTTAACCAAATAGTATATTCGTATGAACAATTGGTTATTTGTAAATATAATTATATTATGTTTACATTCTTATGTTTTAACTAAATTTTTATGTTATTAGGATTTTTATACTATATAACATAATAAAGCAATAGACCATGTGAAATACCACCAAAAATTAACGCAGTAGTTGTTTCTAAAGGGATATGAATGACAAAATTTTACTTTATGTTTTCTACTAATAAATTGATTCAAATATATTTATTTTGAGTTATAATATAATAGATATATTCAGAAGTATGAGTATGACTATTTCGTAATATAATAACAACTATTTGAGAAGGTGAATAGAAATAGATTATAATCCGATAATAAAAATATATATTTAAAAATATCACATCAAAATTAATTATATAGTATTTATGTACTTATAAAATCTTATTTAAATATATTGTAACTTTTAGTATATTCATTTTCATTGTATGTAAATGTTTTAAATTATATTAAACATATATCAACAATGTAATTCGTTAATTTATTTAATATCTTAGAATAATTGACTTATAATTTATTTACATTATTTTTATTATTCAAGTAAAAATAGTATTAAATATTGAATATTCACTTATATAATTTATGAATATTAACTTATATAATTATAATAAAAATAGAATTGAATATTGTATTTTATATCAATATAATTGATTTTTTAAAAATATGATAATTATTAATTTTATACGTAATATATTATAAAGTATAAGTGTTTGGACAAGTATAAAACAAATTATACATTAAAAGAAATCACATAATACAGCATTGGTTCAAACCAAATTTATCTTCGTATATACATATAGATTCATATTATGATAACCGTTGTTTTATGATTGTAATCGAATTACAATTATCGTTATAGGATTTCTCGTAAAAGGTTTGGAAACACATTTAAAAATACACACCTATAAGAGCAACGATTTTGTCTATTTAATATTACCTATTATAACAATTTTCTAAAATAACTATCAACTTATTTTAGACTTACGAATATAAATATCACCTATCATTAACAACGGACCACAAATCCTCGTTTTAAGTCTCTTTTTTCTTTTTCTTAAATCGTCAAAGGGAGTTAGTGTGTAGTTTAGGATGAAATTGGTGCAACAAATGTCCTCAATTTTCTTTCTTGCGCTTCTTTTGAAAAAAAGAAAAAAAAACTTAATAATTTGTATGCATTTGTTAGAGAAAAGTACAAAATCAGCTAATGATTCCCGAATACTGCAAGAACCAGTTTGTTGTTTTATCAACAGGTATAAAATGCCACAAAAGGTTAACCGTCAGAATCTGCAGCCTTCAATTTACATCAGACCCTAGTTGATTAATTAATTAATTAATATATATAAATAAATATGTCGTAATCCCTTGCATACGTGTAGTGCCGTAGTACGTTAAGATCATGTCGCTAATTTGCTGGCAAAAGTTATCATTCCCAAGTTATATTTTTATACTGTCAATACCATATCCAACTTATCTGATAATGATAATTCAATTAACTATTTCATAATATTTATCTGTCACTTTATTAACGGATAATTGATGTGCCATTCTTAATTAGTCTATTAATTCAAAACATGTTTTTTCTTTTACACAAGATGACATATATCTTTCTTCAAGATGAACTAGAATTCAGTATAATTATTGTAAATAATAAATTATTTCTCTAAATATATTTAAAACAAGTTCATGAAAGAAATTTCTATATTAGTAAAATAACATTTAATACTGTTAATATATATTTTATATATTAGATAAAAGTTTAATACATTAATATATTTAATATATAGTAATTTTTGTCAAATATTTTTTTGTGATTTCATCAAGAAAAATAATAATCAAAATATATGTAACACTAATGATTAATTTGTTATTAAAAAGTGTAAATTAATTATCCTGACCCTCAGTTAACTTCAAAGAAAAACACTCAACTATTAATTGGAGCGGTAATTAATTATTATATGTTTTATTCGTCAGTTTATTTTTGAAGCATAAGACAAATTAATAAAAAAGAAGCAATATTTTTATTTAAATTAATTTTATAATTAGACATTTATAGTTATATGCATATAAAATATTGAAGTAAGTATAAACAAAAACATATTAAATTTTTATCACATTTGAAAAAAAATGTTTTTATTTATTTTAATTTTAATTTAAAAAGGAATTTGATTACTGTTTCGTAATAATATTTTTATAAAAAAAATAAAAGTTTTCTTATAATAGAATAAGTTTAATAAAAATGAAGAGATGAGTTATTTTTCTTAATGTACGACATTATAATCTTAAAATTTGGGGTAGACCAGAAAAATAATAATTAATATTTATTTTAAAATTATAAATAAACAAAAAATAATAAAAAAAGAAGAAAGAATTCCTTTAAAAAAGAATAAAAATAAAAAAGGAATAACAAATATAACTCCAATTATGTTTGTAAGATGAAACCATAAAGTAGCTGGGGAGTCTTTCATATAGCATTACTACCTACCTACCTACACATACATGTTCCACCTGTTGTTTAAGAAAAGATGTCACGCACTTTTCCTTTCAACGTCTGTCTTCACAAAATTTACTTGCATCTTATCTCCATGCATGATCTCGTAACAATAGTCAACATCACTGATGTAAAGAGTGTTGTGGTTTATGGATGCAGCAAAATGTGGTAGCAGCTGAACTCGAATTTCGAGAAGCAAGACAAACATTGACTGTGTGCATGCATTTAACCAAAAATGACAGTGATGAAGTTGTGTCAAGGTTAAGAGTTAGCTAGGTAGCTACATTTAGTGTGGTACCTCTCGGGCCACACTATTCCTTTATTTCAATGGGTCGCTATGTTGCTTGATTTTATGGTATCAGCTTCATATTTATCATATTTATAAGATTGGAACTTTTTCTGCACAAACATTCTCGAAAACAGTCGTGTATGTACTGTTTAATGCAATGCATGTTGACAGATTTCATGAATACCATATATCAATGCAAGCCTCACGTCAAATCACATGAGATTAAACTATTTATTCATGTGTTCATCCCACGAATTTTATTTGTTCTCTTAATAATGTGCATATAAAAGAAAAAGTAAACTTGATATATATGACTCTGAACTCATCTGTGTAGTTTTAATAAAATGAATTGTACTATTCTCTGTGTGCATGTTGGTAACAAAGATGTGTCATTATTTGTTGGAAAAAGAGATGTTGTGAATCTCTGTTGTGTCATAGCAATTTGCAAGTATGGATGGCGACTTCACGACACCAATAGCCTCCTCGGATCTGCAACCACAGCACAATTACTTTTTTTCTTTATTTATTGGACTCACCCCAAGTGTGTTTGTTTTTAAACCAGCCAAGAATTTGGTGCATAATTACATACACTTGTATTCTCTCAATTTCTATATATATTTAATTTACATTGCAAAAACTCTCAACCATTTGTTTCTTATGTCCTGTATGTATATGTATATTTGATATCTTCTTAGATTTCTATCCATTTTAGTTTAAAATTAATCTCTTATTATAATATATATTTATCCATTATAAATTTCAAGCTTAATTTATACATTTGAAAACATTTTTCTAATATCCTTCAGTACTAATAGAATATCCAAACCATATCTTTCGTAATCCTGGATGCTCAAATTCAACAGTGTATTTACAATTATTTGAGGCTCAAGTTTACGCATGAAAAAAGTATCTCGCTAGATAAAATAGTTATCTCTAATGGAAATCATTCTCTCTCTATATATAATGGCTCTAGTGATCCAAATTAATCCAGTATGGGAAGAAAAGTGTGAGAAAAAAAAAGGTACAAAGACTTTTTTTTTTTTTTGAAAAATAGAGTATAATTTTTTTAGAAGAATATGATTAGAAAAATGAAAAATTATAATTTTTAAAATTATAAATGAATAAATAAATTAAAATTAAATAATTATACAATTACAACATTATCTATATATTTACTTTCAAGAGGTAAGTGATTTCACTTTCTTTATATTTTTTACTTTATTCTCTCTCTTTTTTTTCTCGTATATGAATACTGTAACGATATTGATTTTTATGGAAAATAAAATATGTTTAATTAATTTAAAAAATCTATTAAACAAAGGTTAATAGTTTATTTCTCATAACTTTTTTTATCACTAGAATTTAAACTATTTCTATCTAATTTAAGATAATGAGATTTTATCAAAATCTAGATTAGAGATTAACAAAGTGAAGTTAAGGAGGTATTTTAGGATTTTACCAAAGTGAAAGTTGACTACTTGTATATTAATTTTTTTCTTAAGATTTTGTTGAATACTTTATATTAAAAATAACAAATAGTGATTTAAGTATCTGGTGGTGTGAAAATGTTGTCCAGATTATAAAAGATTAGAGGATTTTTAGCTACAAACTTACTAAAAGAAATGAGATAAACAAGATAATTCAAGTAAGGACGTTATTATTCATAGATAATTTGTTTAGTAACATTTTGATTGGATGTTTTTCGTTAAACAAAACATGTTAGAATAGTATGCCTTATGATGTTTTGAATATTTTACTTGAATGATTATATGCTGCATGCTTGGAGATTATGTGATGATTAAAAAAAAGAATGTTTATTGTGTTTGGCGTTATTTTCTTAATTGACATGTCTTTGTTTAAGGAAGAGATCTTTTAATGAGAATTCATTTAAGGAATATATTGATGTTCAATAATAAAGTATTATAAAAGAGATAATTAATATTGTAAATATCTTGTTGAGTGACACACAAGATGCTCAAACAAGATACTTGCACGTAAAAGAGAAGTTTTATCATATGATTTTTTTCTTGAGTGATAAATGGATACTTAAGAAAAAGACTTATTAACAAAACATAATTAATTTGTAAATATTTTAGATAGTAACACATGTTAACTCTAAAAATGAGGTTTTGAATATAACTTTTCAAAATATTTTTGTAAATGAAAATTAACTGATTTTAAAGTTGTTTAGTCATAAATATAGATCAACTGACAAAGGTGTGTCAATTTTAACAATATATTTTTCAAAGATTACCTACAGACCATATGAAGTTAATGAAAATTTTCTTAACAATCTTTTAATAGTTTAAAAACATTTTTTTGAAAACAAATACAAATAAGTAGTAAATAAGATAAGTTAAAAGCAAGTAAAGATGTTGGATATATACTTAGTTCATCATAACTAATGATTACGTCTAATCTCGTTTAAAAATATTTAAATGAGTCCACTTTAATCAACAAGATTATACTAAATATATTAAGTCATACTTTTAATTATATACAAATATATTAAGCCACTTTTTACTGTAGCTGAATTTATATTGAGTTGATTATCAAGTCTAATATTCTTTCAACATTATGAAAATAATTATTATTTGCTCTCACTCTTGATTATAAGAAGATTCAGAATTAAGATTTTACTTCACACAAAAAAGATAAATAATGATTTATCTTTCTTAAACTTTCTAAAAGAACATATTCATGAAAAAAATATAGAATGAGAAGTTTAATAAGATTGTGTTATTATTTGTCAATCGTTGGATGTTTCTTTTATAAGTTTCAAAATATGAGAGTTAAAATTCTATCTTAAATAACCTAATGTTCTTCTATATTTTTCTAATATTTTTTTTGCGCGAGGCCTTACTTTTGGTATATCTTAATATACTTTCGTTGTCTAATTCAACTATTTTTCTAACTCTTACTTTTTGCTTCATTCACACCATCGATGTAGTATATTTCAGGTTTCCTTTTTATACATAGACATGATAACTTGAGAAAAAAAATTCTTTGCATTTTAGACAATTTTTGATATACTTTACATATTCTTCATCTTCTATAGAAAATGATTTATATTATCTTTTCATTTAAATACTTTTCTTCCATGACTTTGTTTTCTTATTTTCTTTGATAAATCACAATTTTCACTTTAATCATGTTACAAAATATATAATATATTTCCATTTTTAGATAATATTTTAAATTATATTTTTTTATGAGATTTTTTTTTTATATTCTCAATTAATTAGTATATATATATATATATATATATATATATATATATATATATATATATATATTCATATTTCAAACTTCACTCAATAATATATTTTCATAATTATTTTATATTTAATACTCAAATGTTCAACCATTTTATTAGACTATGTTTATTAACAAGTCCTATATGGTAATTATCATATAATAACAGTGTCTACTGTATAGTATGTTGGACCTATTATTTTCACATGTATGCTTATTTCTTACACTTTAACCGCGACATGTTAAATTCTTTAAGCACGTTTGATATCATCAAATTTATAGATTTGGTCTTCAAATATGTGTTCAACAATGTTCATTTTTTTTAATAAATATAATTAATCTTGTGATGAATTTTGATAATACTTTTCTAAAAAAAATAAAAAATACTATACTCTAAATTATGTATATGAGGAAAACTCCCTTCAAATGGAACGTTGTAATGTTTGCAAAAAGTAAGACAGTCTAAAAATTGTCAGTGATAGAAATTGTATAAAAATAATTAGTGTTATTAATATCAATATGAGGTTAAATAATTGTTAATATGAACTGACAATAAATAAATAAATATATATATATATATATATATATATCAATTAAAAAATATATATTTTTTACTAAATTAATTAGTATATTAATATATGATTGGTATAGATGAGATGTGAACTAAAAATATAGATTATAACAATAATGACATAAATAATGAAGTCTTCCAATTGATTCTTTAACTAAAGCCCGCGGTTATTATTTATTTAACATCACTGACAATGCTTCAATCTCTTGTGAATTGGTGACAGTTATTCACCTTCTTTCTCTCTACTCCATCATAGTCTAATTCACACTAGTAGGCAAACTTGAAAAAAATCTCTAACTTTATAACGTAAATCAAAATTAATTAATCTATTAAAATATAACAAATTATCTTAACAACAGTTAAGAGTATTTCTCTTCTCTTCGTGAAATTGAATAATCTAATATATAAAAACACAACAAATATATCATACTTAACTAAATTTAAAGCATATATTTTTATTACTACATAAAAAATACATTTTTCTCATTTATATTATAGGTAATTAACTTTAATTATTTTTAATAATGAAAGTTGTTGGAGTGATTTTTTTTAATAAAATTGATCATGAGAATTTTTATTTTTTATTTATTTTACTACTAACAACATTAAATACGTGTGTAATATATTACATAATTTTTGCAAAAGTCAAACTTCTCATTTCACAAACTCTAAATTACATAAAATTAAAGACACGTCAAAATACAAATTGAAAACAATATCAAATATATACTGTTTACCTTTTCACAGGTAATAGAACAGCATTGATATATATACAATTAATTTATTTTTAAATATCTATTCTACAACTCCTATTGAATTATATAATAATAATTATAGAAATTTAAAGTTTTATTAATAGTATTTAAAGAAGAGTGATCCTAACTAGTTAGTTTAATATTTTAGGGCATTAGTTAAAACATTAACAATAGAAAAATTTAAAAGATATTACAAGAGTGCATTTGAAATTATGCAACATTACTTATTAAGAACGTTTTGCTTTGTAATATTAGACTTTTATCATAAAAGAAAAATGACAAGAAACTTAAAAATAATAAAATTCCCAGACTTAAATAACTTCCTTCAATAAAGTATCTTATCCAAGTACAATCTTACACATCCATCTCTGTGCAGTTAAGTAAGTCTTTATATATGTAATATATATATATATATATATATATATATATATATATATATATATATATATATAATTATAACATGAATAACTAATTTAACGAAATTAAGACTTATTCACATCACACTTAACTAAAAATATTATAACATCTAATTGACAAATATAGTAAATATCAACATATTTAAGTGAAAAATATAAATATGAAAAATATTGTATATGAAAAATAATCCTTATATATGAATAATTTTTTCTATTAAATTCATTTGTATTATATATGAATTGATATTATAAATACTGTGTATCAAAATCATAACCCAATGCAAAATTGGATAGCAATGTATATAAAAATGATTTATTTTAATAAAACTTGTACATTTTATGATAATTTTGTATGATTTGAATTACGGTGCAAAAAAGATTGATAAAAATCATCACACTTAAAAAATAAAAATTTAAACTACCTTTAATATGTAAACATGACAATATATTTAAACCTTAATCACAAGTAAAAGAAGGTGAAACATGAAAAACACCTGTAAAAAAATAAAGATACACCAAAAGGGAAAACGAACATGGGCATTGTGACAGTGTCAAACCTTAAAGCAGTTATGGGTACTTTTCAGATCCTATATATCCTACACAAGCCTAACTTGTCTGTTTTGCCCATCCACTCGCACGTGCCATCCATCCACTTCGTGTAGCATTCCTTATTTCTAAAATCTCTACTATTTTTCCTGTCTTACTTCACTTGGGCTATCAATGAATTTGCAGTGCCTAATATGACCTACATGACCTTACCAACTGAGGGTCTCATCTCCATTGTTAATGATTGTGTAGGGCTCTATGGTCATTTCCACGTAAAATAAAAGATGGTGGTAGTTTTGATCATTGAGATGACTTTCTACTCACCTTATCTTTATTTTATTCCGTAGTTTGCGTTCGTTTCCAAAGGACGTATTCATAAGACAATAAAAGCCAACACTTGTGATGACATTCTGCAATTTTCATCAACACCCTATATAAAAACTAAGCATCCTCTTATATTAAATATAACACTACATTAAAAAAACAATGATAATTACACTCCTCCTTCTTAAGATTTGGGTATTTCTTGTTTTGAGAAGTATTCCTCTATATTTTGAAAGGAAACAAAAATGATATACATAAATTCTTAGTCATCATTTAGTGGTAAACATAGGTTTATAATAACAATCCTTTGTTTTGACAACCCAAGGCTTATTGTGTCCGTAACTTTTGTTGTGTAGATAAGATAAGGTTATTATGTTCATTGAGTGAGTCAATATCCCTTCTGCGTTAAATCGATTACCATTTATATAAATATGAAAAAAAATGGTGTGAAATATAAGAATATTAAGATATAAAAAGGACATTATTGATGAAAAAAAAACTAAAGGAAGCGGTGAAGACCGAAGAAGAGTGAGAGCGACCGCTTCCCTTTCCTCTCTCTTCTTCACTCTTTCCTTCTCTCTCTGTGTTTATCTGAGACAAGTATTATACCAGTCCCCAAACCCTCCATCTTTAATTTAATATTGTGAACCCCGCACTTTCTTTCTAGAGAAGTGATTGCCAAAATTCTTATAGCCGAGAAGAGAGAAAGAGAGGACAGACAACATCGTATATAGAGAGAAAGCGAGTGAGTGTGTTTGTGTGTGAGAGAGGTAGAAGGAACTGAGGAAGCTATCAAAACCACCCAAACCAAACCAAGAGCTTAACATCCTTTCATACCCTACAACTCTAAGAGGTATACATATGTGTGTATCTATACACACCATGAGATGTACGAGCAAAGCTGAAAAAGATAAAGAGGAAAATTTAGCGCTCTCTTTCTCTTTTTCAATTGTCTATGTGTATAGTGTTTCTTGATGTGTTGGATTTGCCTAATTATTCTCCTTATTACTAATCAGTAATTCAACTATTGGACAGAGGTGACCACGATAAGCCGAGGAGAGATTAGTTGTTGGTGTTGGGTACTTGCTGGCAAGGGAAAGGAGATGAAGATGATGGTTTTAACATGGGAGTAGCAACACCATCACATTCATCGAGGAGACTAGTGCTATACACCATTGGTTTTCTTTTCGATCTTGGATTAATTGTTGCAATTCTATGTCCCAAGATTTTCAACAAGGAATCTTCAACTTCCCGAATGGGTTGGAGAGAGGAAGGGTGAGTCCGCAGCAGCAGATCCGGAGGGACAAAGTAAGGTTGCAAGGAGGGTTCGAGGCGGCGCCATTGGTAGGGATAGAGGAAGCAGAACCTGTGTACGAGTCGGCCGGGATGTTGTCCGAGATGTTCAATTTCCCCCCTGCGACAGAATTGCTGGAGCAGCAGCCTGTGACGGCCACGTTTAGGGCGGCGAGGCAGGCCGGAGAGTGGTACGGAAACAGACAACAACAGCAACAACAAGGGGTGAATATGATGATGGATGGGTTGGGGGATTCGAAGAACCAAAATGGTGTGAATAACAACCAGCATCAACCGCAGCACCAGATTTCAAGCATTAATGCTGACTCAGCAGCTGCCATGCAACTTTTTCTGATGAACCCTCAAACGAGGTCGCCTTCCCCTCCTCAGAGCCATGCCACTCCTTCCTCAACTCTCCACATGTTGCTTCCCAATCCTTCTTCCAATTCCCTCCAAGGTTTCACAGGTTCGGCCACGGGAGGGTCTTTTGGTCAATTCCCATGGGTTCCTGAGAGTGCTCATCAACACGGAGGCTTAGTGGAAGGGCAAGGTCTTTCGCTATCGTTATCTTCTTCACTGCAAGCAGCCAAAGCCGAGGAATTGAGGATGGGGGATAGTGGTTTTCTATATTACAATCATCAACAAGGAGGTGGTGGAGTTGGAGGTGGATCTTCTTCTTCTTCCACAGTTCAATTTCCGTACAAGAACAACAATCATCACCAGGCATTGCATTTGCAAGGGGTGATTGGACACGACAACAACCACCAGGGACATGTTGGGTTTGGGTCATCCTCGTTAGGTGTAGTTAATGTTCTGAGAAATTCAAAGTATGTGAAGGCCGCACAAGAGTTGCTTGAAGAGTTTTGCAGTGTTGGGAGGGGTCAGTTTAAGAAGAGTAAGTTCAATAAGCAGAATTCAAACCCTAATTCAAATCCTGGTGGTGATGGTGGTGGTTCTTCGCCTTCATCAAAAGATGCTGCTGCTGCTCCTCCTCCTCCTTTGTCAGCGGGTGATAGGATTGAGCATCAGAGAAGGAAGGTCAAACTTCTATCAATGCTTGATGAGGCATGTATTGTGATCTCTCTCTCTTCCTTTCTGTTCTCCTCTCACCTTCTCTCCCCCATCAAGAGTCAAGGTCCCCCATATCTTTTCCTTCTAAATTATTTGTTTAATTAAATCCATTAATTAATAGTGCATTATTTGTCTTCCAAATTAACAACGGGGATAATAAAGCACACGCCTCCTCTCCGGCCGGTATCTTCAATAAATTTTTATTTTAAAAAAAAAACAAAAAGAAATAGAAAAAGGAAATGGCCGGCTGGTATAATAGGGTTCCACTGCATAGGATCGGTTGGTAGGTAAGTGTTCCTTATTTTAATTTTAATACAAAACCGGTTTTTTTTAATCATTTGAGTTGATTGGTGGGATGATTTTATATTATTTAAATTGGGTTTCTTGGTTTGGTGTAAACCATGAGACTATCTATTAGGAGAATACGTCCATCAAGAAGCGACGTTCCTTCTCATTAGTAAGATAGACCCCAACACAAGGAAGAAACCACTCACCATATCTGTTACGTACCAAGTTGTTGTCATTGCCAATCCACCTTACAGATCCACACCTATCATGGAAATATTGCAATGAAAGCCATTCTTATCATATCTCAGTTGACCGGAAGGGATCCACAGGCTCTTTCTTCTTCTTTTTTTTCTTTATAAATCAAATTCAGCCTTTTCTGTTTTTAACTTTCTTTATTTATGAGCACAAGCCTATCCATTGGAGAAGAGTACTTCCAAAAAAACCCCAAGGGATATTCTTCATACTCTTCGGATTTTATTTTTAATTTTTCTCTCTCAGAAATAACATGCAAATTTATTTCCCCCAGCCTAATCCATCCATTTAACAATCATAAACTGATCAATATTTAATTTGCTTGTTGGTCTTTCACTATTTGCATGGGTTAGTGCCCTTTTATCTAACTAATAACTATCCACATTTATTTCACATATGAGTTGCTTTCCTTTATTAATGCTAAAGTTGGTTCGTCTAGCTTTTTCACAAACCGCACAATGAATGAGTAAACTAGAGCATGCATGAAGGACAGCTTCTATAGCTTTTCCTTTTTTCTTTTTTTCTTTTTTTAATAATTGTTGCAAACCTTTTGATCCGTTCATTCATTCATTAATATGCGAACTTGTGAATATTTGACGCGGCAAATTAATGAAGGGTTTGTTTGTTTGTTCAGGTGGACAGGAGATACAACCATTACTGCGAGCAAATGCAAATGGTGGTGAACTCATTTGACATGATGATGGGTTTTGGCGCGGCAGTTCCATACACAGCACTGGCGCAGAAAGCAATGTCTCGGCATTTCCGGTGTCTGAAGGACGCTATAACAGCACAGCTGAAGCAAAGTTGTGAGCTCCTAGGAGATAAAGACGGGGCGGGGACCTCAGGTTTGACCAAGGGTGAGACCCCAAGGCTTAAGATGCTAGAGCAAAGCCTTAGACAGCAGAGAGCCTTCCACCAGATGGGTATGATGGAACAAGAAGCTTGGAGACCTCAGAGAGGCTTGCCTGAACGATCTGTCAACATTTTGAGAGCTTGGCTTTTCGAGCATTTTCTCCACCCGTACGTTTTTTCTCCTTTTTCCCTCTTCCCTCTCAATTATTATTACTTAATATAACACGAAAATCATATCTGCCTATTACTTTTAGCTTTAATTATTTCTTCACCCATGTACTTATTTATATTATCTTCACTTAAAGATTAATTCTTTTTTTAAGTAAATTCTAAAATAGAAGTAACATTTGTTCCAACATAGTTGAATATAGAATAATATCATTTCCAGTATGAGTAATGTGTGTGTATATATATATATATATATATATATATATATATATATATATATATGCATAGAACAAGTATATTGGGGTACTCTATGATAATGATCCTCAAGAGTAAAGGATGAGACCCAATAGGAAAGATACTGTGATAATTAACGAGAAGAAAAGCAGCAGGGTTTGTGTTTATTTAAAAATAATAAAGAGACAAAGAAAGGGAGTAGGAGTGACAGAAGGAAAGAGAGAATCTAAAAGCCATTATTTATGTGCCCTACGCGTTTGATCGTTTAGAGGAACAGTAATGCAGTAATATTGCAGTGTCCTTGGATGTTGTCTCGCCAGCAGAAAGGTAGAAAGATGCATACAGCATATCGCTGCTTTAACTACGATGAATTTCTTGGTATCTTTTTTCTGATCTCTCAATACCTAATTAGATCAACCGATTAAGGGGAAGAGTGGGAGGGAGAGAGGGGATAAAGTAGAGACAGTGATCAGTGTGCACAGTAATCTGCTTTACTTCTGCTATGGCAGCTAGGACATAGATCTTTCTTTCTTTCTCTTAGATTCTCACGCCCACGAAGGGAAAGAGAGAAAGGTTACAAACTCAGCTAGGGATACAGAAAGCTCCATGTACCTTTATACAGTTAAGGCAAGGACTCTGATGTCATTTTCTGGTCTCTTTCTCAGGTATCCAAGCGATGCAGATAAGCATCTGTTGGCACGACAGACTGGACTATCGCGAAATCAGGTTCTTTAATTTCTTTCTTAACTTTAATTATCACACTATATATTAAGCAATGTTAATTAATTAATACTTAATGAGATCAAAGGTGTCCATATTAACAAGACTAAGTAAAAAAGAAAAAAGAAAAAGGAAAGCAATGAATGGAAAAAAAGAGGGACCAGCACTGAGTTCAGATGCAACTTACATGATTTTGAGTTTGTTTATCTGGTTTCTTCTGTCTCTCTCTAGGCAACGCTGGTTTTATTTTGTTTTAATGCCCCCTTTTCTCTTTTTGTTCTCACCTCAAAAACTTTGTTTTCTCCTCTCTCAGAAAAGACTTATCTTTCTGTCTAGCTTTAATTTACTATTGGAATCTTTTACACAACGACATAATTAATTCTGAAATTAGAAGAGCAGAGGTAAGTACAGAAGCAATGAGAGTTAAAAATTTGTTGTCTTCAATTGAGCTCACCCTATCCCAATTACTCTTTTCTCTCTCTCATATAAGATGATTTCAACTACACAATATAAGAACCAAAAATATGGGGGAATAAATGTATGTTTTTTGAGATGTTAATGTCTCTCCTAAAGTCGTATTATACTTGTTCAAGCATGCTCCTCTGCCGACTATATACATAAACTCTCTCTCTCTCTCTCTCTCTCTCTCTCTCTCTCTCTATATATATATATATATATATATATATATATATATATATATTCTATTTTAAAATTTTGAATTTACAAGTTTTTTCATATTAATCTTTAATGTCTTATATTTTGGCACATATGTTTTGCCCTATCAGTCACATAGGGGCAGAAAAATACTTCTGTCCTCTTCATATATATATATATATATATTACCGGGTCGAAATAAAAAATAATTATTTATCATATTTATTTCTTTATTTCTACTTTAAAACAACTTTTTTTTATATGGTTTGATATTCTACGAAAATGATTTAAGTTTCTAACTTTTTCATGATAAAAAATGAATTAATAACTTTTTCTCTATATATTTCATTTGTTTCTTTTATTATTTTTTCACCTTCTGGAAACTACGATACCGAACACTGGAGTAAAAAAAAAAAAACTGTGAATTTCTTGTGGCTTGCATGTATAGTCTAACTACATAGACCCTATATACACCTATACCCTATGGTGGTCAGTGATACGGGAGGGTTAGAGTCTTAGAACCAAAACACTGTTCCTTCTTAGAAGAAACTGTTGATGAATAGTTTCATCTGTTGGAGTAACTAACTAATCACATATTATCATTTTAAATCTGTCGTCTTCGCTGTCTTTTGTGGTCACACCACAGAGAAGATACCTCGGTGTCTAATCACAATTTAGCACAAAGGGACAAACAACAATAAGCCAGAAGAAAGGAAGCTCTTTTGTGTCTTTTTTTTTTTTTCTGATTATATTGGCACTTAAATATTTGAACTGAAATTATAAATCTCGAATATCCTTTTCTTTGTCCTTTTTCTATAGATGGTATTTTAAATGATGTTGGTATAAAATTCAATAAACTAAGACGGTACACAATTGTACAAAGTGTTTGAAAACAAATGAATATTATTAGAACCGTTTCAAATACAAAAAGATCATGAATTTTATGAAATATTTTCTAACAAAATTTAATAAATATTCAATACCCTATAGACATTTTATATATATTATTCAAAATATGCGTGAATTGATGGATGAAATGTGTTTGTTTCAGGTATCAAACTGGTTCATTAATGCCAGGGTTCGGTTGTGGAAACCCATGGTGGAAGAGATGTACCAACAAGAACTCAAAGAAGCAGAGAGTGCAGAAGTGAGAGAAAAGAACCAAAGCAACAATAGCAATACTAGTGAGAACCAAACACAAACTCCAACCACATCAGGAGCGGCTACAACATCAACAGCAACACCAACATCCACTACAACAACAAAACCAACAGAAAAAAATGCCGATTTCAATACCACTGAAAGCAACCCTTCACCCGTTGCAATGAATACACAAGGTTTCTCGGAAAACCAAGCAAAGCAGACCACCACCACCTCCACCACTATTATGCCATCCATCAGCGCCACCATTTCTGAGGTGGTGCCACCCGTGTCGCAGTGCTTCGACTCAGACCTGGCCCCTCACAGATTAATGGTCACTGACGACACGTGTCGCTTGGTCACTACAGATTTTGGGACCGCATCTGCAACTGCTGACATTGGATCCACACTCATTAGATTTGGGACCACCGGTGATGTGTCACTCACCCTAGGGCTTCGCCACGCCGGGAACATGCCCGAGAAAACTCCTTTCTCTGTTAGAGATTTTGGAGCCATTTAAACTTCAATATAGTACTATTTCACACGGTAATAATATAATAATAATAATAGTCATAATCATATATACAAGAAGATGCTTTATAATATTATATTATATAATATTATATATATATATATATATATATATATATATATATATATATATTTCATCAAAAGAAAATATTTTTCCCATTTTATATTTCTCAGTTATTCCTCCATTCCTCTTATCTGGATTGTGGAAGAAAGACACTTAAAATAAGTATATAAATACTACCATATGAGCAAGATAGTTTCAAGCTATTAATTAGGAGTAACACTAATATGGTATCCATTGTATAGCATTTGTTTTCCCCATATATGTACTTCATTATTTAAGGTTGTAGTTTAGTTTTGTAGGACTTTATCGTTCATTTTGTTTATCACTTTAAGATCATGAAACGTCAAACCTACCAATGTCCTTGTACAATGGTTGATTTTATTTTTATTCCTCAAACAAATAAACAAGACTGTGTTTCAATAAAAGAAAGAAAAAATCAGTTACACATTAAAAGGTGTGGTAGTAGAGATTCATTGAATGGAAAAACTGCATTCACTGATAAATGTTTCAATACCTGAGTTATGTGACTCTAGAATCATCTTCCTAGACGTTTTTTTTTTGGAAGTAGAAACACTTGGTTCCTTTGATGAAAGATGTAATCCTAATTACAGATGTTACTTAATCTTCACTTTCCAAATGCAATTTTTCAGTTGAACAAAAATATATCTTCTTCTTCTTCTTACACAGTCCCCTCAGTGCTGTCAAGAGACACCATTCAAGACTCTTCTTGACAGCAACCTGAGTGCTCATATTTATAATAGAGTCGAATGGATATTATTACATTACATATTGTCAACTTATGTACCCTTCTAATTATTGTACTGAATTTTACTAAATTATTGTAATGCAGGACAGGTTATCCCAATCATGCATGTTCAGAAAAAAAAAAAACATGCATATTGTGTATGAGCCTTAAATTCACCATGGGACCACATATTATCCACCAATAAGGGAATTTATAAAGTCGAATGAAAACTCTTCTTTTCCCGCTAAGCAAAATGAAAGTTGAGATTTTGAATATAAGGGGTACACAATATCTAACAAAAACTGAATAATAAAAATAATATATAAACTTGTATTTTGCAAAAAATATTTAGTTAAACTCATTCAAACTTTAAACGACGAATAAAATTATCTCTAGTATATAGAATAGAACTGTTCCCCATGTTTCCTTTTTAGAAGGTTGATGAATGAAAACTTGCACTTAAATTCCATTTTTCATGTGACAGAAGAAAGGCTTCGATCGCCGTTTTCTAAAATTTTTATTGTCATTCATTAATTTTGCACTTCAATTATGATCAGTTTTGACTAATATGGGTCTTATCAAATTTCATAAAGAACATAATTTTATTTTAGAATGGCTTGTAACTAGAGGGAACCAAGGAGAGAATGGACAGTGTATCAGAATGCAATCAATACTTTAAAAGTGGTAGGTGTTCTAATAATTATGGAGTAATAGGATATAAAAATTAAAAAATTGATAAATGCCCATAAAGATGAAAAACACCCAAATAACACTTTAAAAGAGAAGAAAATATAAGTTTTATAACGATGTGATAGAAAGATAAAAATAAAGACAAAAAATTAGAAATTAACAAGGAGTTTATAAAAATGGAGTCTATGTATACATGAATAATTGTTCGTAAAAAAATGCATATAAACAAAAAGTTTGACTTCTAAACTTATTATTTAATTAGCTAGAAAGAAAGTAATAAATTCATGCAAATGAGTAAGTCAGAAATGCACGTGTGTAAGAAAAAACAATGAACTATGATCAATCAAATTTATAAGTATATACTTCCCAATTGTGTTAAACTAAAACACTAAGCATTCGTTGCTTGTGAAAACCAAATTTCAGTACTTCCTTGAAAGCTGAAACCACTTCAATTCTAGATTGGCAGTGTTTGGATCATTTTTGCAGACCTACAAGCTAGTCAATTCCATTTCTGTTATATGTAATTGGTGTGGGTAGAATAAATCAACCGGAATCTGTTGTGGTTTGAAAAAACAAAAGCCACACGTTTCTTCCGTAAAAATCAAAACAAGAACTTCTCAAGCAACAAGCACTTCTCACCTAATATCTTTCTTGTTGTTTGAGAAACACAGCATATACTACTAACCGAAAGGGAGCCTTCTCCACGTCCTATTAATTTTTGTCAAGGTTGTTCTGCTGCAACGATCAATTATGCTTTTTGAATATTCAACGACGTGATTTCACGCGGATTTTTCTTTTGTATATATAATAAGTAAAGTCTTGGGATTACGTTAAATGTGGCAGTAGTTAATTATATACTTATACATGCTGCTTCACTAAAGAACACAGATCTGATGGAGTTCTGTGATTCACTTCATTCAAGCTTTAACTATTCACTTAATTTACAGTATAACTTTAAAGATCAACTGAGATATTCAATACATGCATAAATTGCTTCAATTCACGAAGATAATTATTTCTATGCTAACGAAAGAAGTTTGATCTTCAAGAGCAAGAGTACTGTGGATGTCTCAACAATCACTTCTTTTCCTATTTTTTTTTTAGGAAAACATGGGGCTATAGGTATAGGGCTCTTACCAGAAATATATGTTTGTGAATTGAACGTACTTTGTCTTGGTCCATGCAGTTTATTAAACTGAATTGCTGCTATAATTATACTGTCACTGGAATTATAGAAGCCAATATATATGTTTCTTTTTATATTGATTAGCTTCTCCTTCTGGTTAGAACATTTGTAAGCACTCTAAAGTTTACGGGTGAATTTTCATTGAGTGTGTTTTTAAGGGAAATGATGAGATATTTCAAGAGTACTACATGTCTTTAAGGAGAAATTGTTACACTTCAAGACTAATTCTAAGTAGTTTAATTATGAAAAAAAATAGTAATCAATTGTGTATAATGTGAGAATTAGTGAAAATAATTTTGTATACTTAATAATTTATTTCTCCGTAGTTCTTTTTAATAGTAATTAGTAGTCTGTTATTCGTGTAATGATGTTATGAAGGAGTTGAACAGGAAATTATTGAGTAAATCTAATAGTTACATGTTCTTAAACTAGGTGAGTTAGTCAGTCCAAACTAAATATATGTGATAAAGTTAGTCATGCATGTTCTGGATCACTTCCCAATACATATCAAGAGTTATCATTTTTCTTAATTTCATATAACTTCATGGTTGTACCTACCAAATGTGCAAGATTTTTTTGGACTTCATCAGACTGATATATTAACATTGAGGGAGGTTCCTGTGAAGAGACCTTTAATAAACATTGAACAAGGGAGACAATAAAAGGGTCTCTAGAAGCTAGTGGATGATGTAGGTAATCCCCACCCTAGAATTGTTTATTTGTCTTGTGTAGGTGCAGCATAACATACACATTGAATAGGGAAAAAATTTGATACGAGGGCTTTGAATTCGGTTCCATTTAATGAAGGAAGTCACTGTTGCCATCATCAATGAGCATGATGCAGGGAGGAGATGTTCAGATGACAGCAAATTGGGGTGTCCCCACCATTTTGCAATGTGACACAACACACACAATCGGTAACCAGTCACCTTCTGAACCCCATGGAAGTGTGCCAAAGACAATTTTAACAAGGAGACGAGGATATTATATATGAGATTCATTAATATTAATAAAGATTAAGTGCTTCATTCAGCAAATGAAGAGAAGATTGGGTTCATGCAGTCTTGGGCCAGGGCCTGTCTTTGACCAGCTGAAAGTTTAGGTAGCTAAAATAAATGTAAATGTAGAAAAGGGCTTAACAGGGTGATAGAAGAGTCCATGTGGTGCTAGCAATGGTCATGGCATGGCGATAGGTAGGATGATGGGGGAAGGGATAACAATCACATTGTCTCACAATAATTTCTTCATTTTGTTATGGACCATATGCATTCTTCATTGGAGGAGTCTATTATTTCCTAAACCAGTAAGATCACTGTAAATAGTAAAATCCTCCTTCCAATCTTGCAATCATCATTTTGATAAAGCTAAAAACCCTTATCTGTGTTCCATGGTCCATCTTCAGAGCTCACTACTCACGCCTCCCAACAATAAACATCATTCATAGTATAGTTGGTGGTCCATGCAAGTCCAAAAAATATTTGATGCCTTTTATTTTCTCAAAAAATTATGTTTGAAAAGGTTAAGGACAAATTATACATACCCACCACTCCTAGTATATATACATCAATTCTATCAGTTGAAAATCATCATCTTAATGTTGAAATTTTTTAATGAGATTGATTCACATTTGTAAGACAATAATTAGGTTTAAAAAAAAACCTAATATGATGGACAAACCATCACTTGGAAGAGGCATCAACTATGAATTGGTGACACATATCTGAAGGCATCAGAAAAGGATGGATCCCTCCATACTGGTGATTCCATAATTATTATTGAGCATGGAACTCATGGTTGATACTAGTTCTTTTAGAAAATATTTGTTTAAAATTATAATTTTCTTTACTAAATTAACTTTTTTTGAATAAGACAACTTCAGAGAGGTTTTTATTTACAGGAATCTTCTATATATTTTTTATTTTTATTGCTATTTACTGTTATTTTTATTTATGCCTATTTAACATAATAAATAATCTAAATTAATAATCCCATGAAAAAACAATGGTAATTGTCAGGATTTCTTTTTTTTTTTAGTGAAGGATAAGATTGGAGTAGAGTGGGGTTATTTATAAAGGCACATTTATCAAGCAATCATCACGTATATGAGGAGTCACGTCAGGACCACTAATGCATTAAACAACTTCCTCCGTAAACATATCCTTTTTGAGAACTAAATCCGTAACCTCGGGGTGTGATTCGTGTTCGTTCCAACGGGAAAAAATTGGATTTGAGCGGAGGTGGGATGAGGTTGGATTTTTACGGCTTTAAAAAGTTGAGTACATGACTCCTTTTTGTTCTTATTTATTCTATATTTTTATTATAATTTTATATTTAAATTTAAATTTTAAAATAATTTTATTTTTATTTTTTTATATAAGGTTATTTTTTTATATTTCATCATTATTTTTTTTTTAATTTTTTTAATCTGTTTTAATTTTTTATATCAATTAATTTATTATATTATTTTCTTTCTCTTATCTTTTAATTTTTTACATTTTTTTAATCTCTTCGATTAATTTATTTATTTATTTTTTATTTTTTCAACTAATATGATAAGTATAAAGTTAATTTTTTTTTCTTTATATTTTTTTAAATATTTTACATAAATGTTAGTAGAAACTAATATTATTTTATTTATAATTTATATTTATTAAATTTTATTATGTTATATTTGTTTGGATCTTATTATTATTATTATTTGTCAGTATATCAAATTTTATCTTAATAAAATAATTATATTTTAAAGGATTAAAAAAATTTAATAATTTAAACTTTTATTACTTTAAACTAATTAAATAAGAATTAACTTATTAAATATTTCCTTACAAATTACATATTTCATATTTTTAAATGACAATTTAACAATAAATTAACTTATATATGTAATCAAATATTTGAATACAGATATAATAATAATAATAATAATAATAATAATATAAATATTCAAATATTTGAATACAATATTATAATATATAATATTATTATTATAAATATTCTATATATATATAAATAAAAAATAATTAAATATTTCTTTTACCTACGTATTTTAATAAAAATATAATAAATTATAATATATATTTATGTATAAAAAATACATAAAAATAATAAAATTAATTTATTATATGGAAAAACTTGAAACCCAACGACAATTGAGATGAAGACTTAATTTCTAATCTCGTGGGAATCAAGGACAAAGACAAGGATGGTTAAAAAAGTCGAAGACGGGGATTGAAGAAGTAAAACTCGCCTCGTTGTCATGCCAAATCCATTTGGGCAATTTGCATACTCAAAGTGTTTGTTAAGTTTGATTTAAATTTTATTGAATAATTATCTAAGTCAAATATAAAATTAATATACAATAGAATTAGGGATTTTATTTATTATAATAAAATAATTTTAAAAAATTATAAAATATTTTTATAGAAATTATTAAATATTATTATAATAAAAATTCTTGAATATTTTTTTAAATATAAAATAAATTTATAATTATTATTATATTCATAAGTTTAAATTTTTATATTTATAAATAAATTATATAATATTGTAATTAAAAAATAAATATAAATTGTTTATCGTACTTTTATAAACATAATCAAATTATAAAATATTTTTTGTATTAGTTGATAAATAATTTTATAAATAATATTATATTTAAGTATAATAAATCATTGTTAATTTATAATATAAAACTTTAGTCAAAATTATTATTTAAAAATATAAATTCAAAAATTATAAAAAAATAATTTACAATTAACTTCAAATTTTTAATCTGCTTTTATTATTTTGTTGGAAGCATTCAATTTTAAATAACCAATAGAATTATCGTATATTTATTTTATTTTAATAGTTGTTCTTCTAGATTCTCTAAAGATTATATATATATATATCTTTATATATATATATATATATATATATATATATATATATATATATATATATATTAAATCTATAATTTTAATGTGTTTGTATATATACAAATTTTAAATAAAAGAATAATCACATTTTATTTTAAAAATAGCTTATGGTATAATTACTAATGAAGAAGCTTGATTTATTCTATATGGTTCGGTACGAGTACACATCATTTAACTATATATTTTTCTCTCTCAGCTTATCTAAAATTATAACGATTAATGTTACAATATATCTTATTAATTTAATTTTCTAAACACCTCATTAAAAAAATAAATTATTTAAATTAAAATATCTAAACTAATTAAATAATCAATAATAAAATAGAAAATTTTAATTAAATAATAAATTATATATTTATTAAAAAAATAGAATAAAAAATATTCTTCATTTACTATAAAAGTGACATAAAAATGAATAAAAATTATTATCAATTAAAATTTAATATTATATAATTATAAAGTTATTTATACAATTATTTACAAATTATTGAAATATTTATTAATAAGAGAATAACTTTTAAAAATACTTTTTCTTTGTATATTTTATTTTTTTCTACTCATATATATAAAAATTATATATATATATATATATTTATTATAATAAAAAATATATTTCTATCAAATAAAAAATTTATTATTTTCATTTATTTTCCTACATTAGTCACTTTTTATTTTACATCTTTGGTACAAACAAACAGAGTCTTAGTTACAGTTTATTTCATACTCATTATATACCATTAATGTTAAATAAATTAATAATTAATTTAAGATTCAAAATATCTCTTATAAATATTCTTAGAATATGGAATATATATTTAGAATATGGAATATATATATATATATATATATATATATATATATATAACTTGTAAGATTAATTGAAATTAATATCTTAATTTTTCTTAGGATTCATTGTAATTTTACCAACTCGACTAAATTTGTATAATTTTTTTCCTTTATAGTTTGTTTTTTCAATAAATTTATGTTAATTTCATTAACTTGAGAGTTAAATTCACGAAAATTTTATCAAATAATAATAAAAAATAAACGTGTTCTAAAACTCTTAGGTTTTACTAACTTTAACTAGGGATCATGCATTGATACTAAAATATTTTGTTTTAAAATTTTATTTCTTCTTAATGCAAAAAAGCAATCCATACTAACAAGGTCATCATCAACTTAAGATGAGTAGTATAGGCTACAATTCTTACTTCATGTTCAATATAACTTCTCCGAATCTTTCAAAATATTTTTTTTTCTATTTTTGTAGTTTTTTACTTGGTAATAAATTTATGGTGCATATTCCTTCTAGCCCATTTTCATGCATGGTTTTTCTCTTAATTTTTTTAACCCTCGATTAATAAGAATATTAATGTCATATGTAATGATTATCCATTTTCTTTGTATTTTCTTTTACATTAATTAATAATTTAGAAGAATGAAAAGTAATTGCACATGATTCAATTTTTTTATTTTTTTCAATTTTTCGTGTATTAATTAGTTGTTTTTTGTTAATATTTGAACTTCTGAAGCTGCGTGCAGGAGAAGTTAATTAAGGTATGAATCTGGTTTTCACTGTTAAATTATAAATGAAAGATAAGAAAAATGCATATAGTGAAAGATCCAATTAAGATATTCATGAACAAGATACCTTAGTGTCGTTCATTATTCAAATTTCATGTTAAAACTTTGATTATAAATGGGGGTATGCATTGAAATTTTTCTTGGAGATAATCATTTCATTCTCTGATAGATAGTAATAGCAATGTTAATTTTACGGAGGTGTATGTGTGTGTCGACTTGAAATAAATGAAAGAGAGTGAGAGGATTAAGGAATGTATATATCTGATGTTTTTTCTAGCGACTGTTAAGAATTCTTTTGATAATTCAATTAGTGATTGTATTAAACACATTCAAAACAATCTTCTAAAAAATAATAATGGAAAGTATTCAATATTTATCTTTGAAAATTTAATTTCAAAATCTTTGGTAAATCACTTACAAAAGTTTAATCCCAGAAGTAACATTTCACCCATTTTATTTACATAAGAATCATTTTATTAACTAAAAAAATATTACTACCACAAGAAAATCTCTATTTATCTAGAGGTTCATCTTCCAGATTCAAACTTCTCATTACCTTAAAGTTGAAAGCTGATATTTTAACTATTAGGCTACTAAATTTTTTTAATAATAATTTACAAATAAATGTATATCCGTATATAAAAATACTAATATATTTATATATTTATATGTTTTGATATATTTATATGTTGGATGTGAGAGTGCGTTTGACGATAAAAGTGTGTGTCGTGTTTATTAGAATATATTTAAAATTATGAAATTATTATATAATTTTAAATATTTAATTTTTTTAATTTAATGTTAATTTTAAAAAATATACTTTAAATCCGTTGGTAAATCAGTCGTTAAATGAACAAATAATTATCAACAAATATATCCGTCACTAACTAATTGTCCATTTACCAAAATTATTAATTTACCAATGGATATATCTATTAGTAATTACTTGTTCATTTATTGACAGATTTAGCAATGAATATATCCGTTGATAATTGTTTGTTTATTTACCGATGAATTTGCCGACGGATATATCCATCGATAATTAATTATTCATTTACCGACGGATATATCCGTCAGTAATTAATTGTTCAGTAGTAAAACCAAATTTCACAACTACTCTAAATTTATCGGTAATTTTCGTCAATAATCACTTATTTTCTGATGGATATATATTCGTCGGTAATATAAATTTTTCTTCAACAAATTGTAACTCTTATTATAAGCTAAGAAGCCTATTTTAATGATTGGAAGAGTTTGTTTTTATCTTAGACCAAAAGAAAAAGCCACTTCATTAGTGTACACCTCTAATTTCTTTATGCACCTCCATATTTCATGTAAAAATAATTAAAATATCATTTTAATAATTTTTGTTTTAAATCCTAAGATTTTCCATTATTTATGTTGTCTGCATATTTGGTTTCTTGTGTTATCACCTCCATTCAAGATCATTTTCAATACTTAAAAGGTGAGTAATGGTTAATATTATATATCTATTACATGTTCTCCTAACTGAAATTGTACATTGAGATTCAAATTGTTTGGTATGAAAAAAAACAAATTTTCAGAAATTAAATTGAGTTCCAGAATACCCAAAAGTGCGTTTCAAAATATATCTCTAGAAAGTAAATTATGAAATAATATTTTTGGAAAAAAAATTCAAAAACACATTCTAAAAAGTGAGTTCTAAAATATATTTTCAGAATTAATTTTTTAAAAATATATTCTAAATTGGTAGATTAAAATACATTTTCAAAATTTTCAATTCGAAAGTGTATTATGTAACTAATCATGCGGATACATTTTTTAGAAAATCATTCTAAAAATATATTCCAAAACTCATTTTTCAGATCTTGTTTCCAAAATCTTTTCTGAAAATGTATTCCCACGCCAGTTTGAAAATAGTATTTAATTTAATTATGGAAATTTTGGAAGAAAGTGTGAAATTGCAGAAAGAAAGAAAGTGCCAAAAAAAAGAGAAGTGACAACCCTTATTGGGTCACTCAGTTAAGAGGTTTTTATCCTTTTGGGCCTTGGTAGCCTGCGATTTGATGGACGAAAATGAAGTAATATTCTTTGTTAAGGCATATTTCTTTAATTTATTGGCGACTACAGTATTAAAACCTAAGATATTGTACAAGCTAAGCTACTCTTAAAGATTTTTTTTATTCTTTCATATAGATATATTTAAAAACAGTAACTAAACTAAATTTAAGAGGAATTCATAGCTATATGTGAAAATAATAAATTATAATAAAAATATTTTTCAGGCCTAAAGACTTGTGAGAAGAAATTACACAGACATAAAGGTAAAACCTTTCAAGATAAAGGTTAAAAAAAAAAAAAGGGTTGTGTCCACTTGATCACTTACATTTAATTCTATAATGTTTGTCACACGATATTGATTGCATTGATTTTTTTTTTAATTTTCTAGAAATAAAAAAACGAAAATACAGTATCAAAATCTTTAATATACATGCTCCTACATGTGAGATCATATCAGATAATTAAGAAGATAAAGAAAAGCACAATCTGTTATATGGTAACATATACACTTTATGTTGTTATTGTTCCGTACATAAACTATGTATAAACATATTTTCAGTTAGTAAGTTCTTGAATAAGACTGATAATTCTATTTCTCTGAGCTTCATTTTCCTTCTTTTTACTTACTTTCATTGATGAGGTGCAGAATAATAATTTTTATGTTTGCTAATTTGTAGTTAATGTGAGATGAGACTTCACATCCAAAATGCAAAGAAATATATCCCTTGGCGAGATAACCAGATAGAATGCAGGTTAAACAAGCATCTCCATAGCTTGTTTAGAAAAGTGGGATTCACTTCCATTAACATGAGAAACTATAACTACTAATTGAAAATTAACTAGTAAAATTATAATTGAATGAATGCACTTGTATGATAAAATAAATCTCGCACCTAGAAAAACTAGACCTTTAGTATTTGTATAATTACTGAAAGTTACAATTCCATGAGTGATTGTATACATGAAACTAGTTAGCAGCGGGAGGTAAACCACATTGGCAAATCAACATATCATTTATAATTCCTTAGAAGTCACCTTAAAAAGAGAAATTCAAATTTCAAAACCATTTTAAGATCTATTCATGAACATATCACATGGTGCTTTTACAGAAGCATTCAACTATCTGCCATGGCATTACCTTGCCCTTCCACATAGGGTCTAATGAAAGTTCTCCGCCACCACACCTCAAAAGCTCTCCGAAGATTGGGACAACCATCACCAGTTTTCAAGAAGCTTCCAACCCAAGAAAGCAAAATACTCTGTTGATCCTCCAAAGGCAAGGTGAGAATTGTCCTTCCAATTCCTTCCTCCACAAGTTTCCTATCAAATGTTCTGCACCCGTGCTGCAACCAGTTGTAGTCATTGATTAGAGGCTGCAGCCATGTCTGCAACAACAACTGGCGTGTGTTCTTCGATGGCAAAACCTCCCCTTTTCCTATGCTGATATATAGTCTTCCAGAAATGCAGCTGACATGATAACGAAACACAATTGGAAGCTTTACGTGTACGGCTGCCAATTCCTGCTGGTTTCCCCACATCACTGCAAAATCTTCAGCAGCTTGTTTGTCAACTAAAATCTCAAGCAACCATGACAAGTTATCAGCTTCAAGAGCTATATGTTTTACTACAGGTTCTTTGTTATCACTAGGCATGTCTGTGAAGTCTGGTTCTGCAGCTTGGTTGAACAGACACAATAATGAATCCAAGCAGCTTCTGCATGACTTATAAATCATGGCATTACAGATGTCAGCTGAACCTGCAGAACTTGGAAGACTGTTGTTCTCCCTAAGGAGTTTTAGAACTATGGATTTCATCTCTCGGCGACCTCTTTCCTCGTTGCTTTTCAGAACAAGTTCAACTATGTGGGAGAGGGTATCTTTTGGGGCATTGGAAATATCAGGAGAAACTCGTTTTAGCACCGGATTGACCCCAATTCCTTCTCCTTGGAGTCGTAGGACTGTTGAGATCACCTTCTCTTCTTCCTCCTCTCCGTTCCAGGGGACTGCTTCCAAGTACTCCAAACATGATTGGATACATGAGCTGAAACCAAGGAATTCTGCAACCTGAAAGATAGTTTTTTAGATTACTAGTCTAGTTTTGGTGTTTCATCAATCAATATTCAATGACTCATTCCTACCAAAGGATAAAATGGTGATGAGAAAGATTTGAAATGAAGACCATAATTTAGCAAGAAGTTATGAGTGAACCTTAGGCACTACCTTTCATGATGAATGAAGTCTTGGATAGAAATATCAGAAGTATTTTGGCCCGTAATAAAAGACTGTGATTTACATGAAACAGTGGATAAGGATTATCTTATACTAAGTGATCTTACTAATTTTAAGGGGTGAAAAAAAAAGTGAGACACCATGGTTATATCTTGACCATCACCACAATTCTCAGCATAAGCACATTCCACTCTTCAACTCAACTTTTTAATCTTGTCGTGGCTATGGCCTATTAGTAAATATATAAGCATTTCAGGCAGTTTGTATACGTGTGAAGAGAACAATGTATCTAGTTTAACCACAATAAATTTATAATGACCACCATGACACATTGATTATTTATCATCATCATTATAGATCACATGTATAGCAAATTTTAACTAATGATTTGCATCAACAGTAGCTAGTATAAGAGGAAATTGAGCATGTATAAGAAAAATTGAACAAGACAAGAAACTCCTTGTTCGTTTCTACCTTTAAGATGAGTTCAAGTGAATTAAGACCTCTCAAGAACATTGCATAGGTAAAACTGTAAATAATAACTTTTTTAACATAATCATGATAACTTTATAGAAATAACAGGCTCATGCACCAGTTTTCATTACAGTACAGCAATTCCAAATTATACTATAATGATGGTAGTTTATAATATCATAAAGCAGACAAAAATACTTTCTTTCTCATGAATAACTCAAGTCAAATGTTAATAAATGACCTTAAGGTATTGGTTAAGTAACCAAAACTTTAAAGCAATGAATAAGAAGGAAACATTCAAAGCAAAAATAATTTCCTACTTGCTTTTTAAAGTAATTGAAAGCGTCCAACAGAGTGTATTGAATGCTGAGTATTATTAGTTTACAAACCCATAATTCTAAATACTCTCACGTCATCCTTCTAATTATTAAACGAAAAAAATGAAAAGTATTAAATGCCTTTCATGTTTTAAAGATGTTAAATGCATTTCCTTTTTCATTTAATATTTTATGTATAAAGTATTAAGAGAATAATATGGCATTACTCTATCCTTATTAAGTTTATATTTAGACCTATTCCATGAAAAATAAAATTGCAGTTGATTATGTAACATAGAAAATTGTAGTAGATTGTACCATAATGTAATTAGCATTGTTTAAATTGAAGTTATATAAAATTATATATATTGGGGAAGAAAAGACCATGTTAAAATATTTACAATAGTGGAGGGTGAGTTAACTCGATGAGGAATTCAATTAATGATCTGAAAATAAACAGCTTCTTATAATACCGCCAAGAACAAAAGATTAATAGCATAGAACATACTTCTTCTTTCCAGAAATGCCTTACTCGACAGTATTAACAGCAAAGCATGCAGTGATGACAGAGTTAGCAAATTACCTTGAGTATTCTAAGAATGCGAGAAACACTTTGCTTCATTAGCCGCTGTTTCATTTCTTTGCAGTACATAAGCCCGACAGTTTCAACATATATTTCAACATCCTCACAGTCATCAACTTGGAGACATGACAAACCAGATTGTTCAGAAAGTTTGTCAGCAAAAGAACTACTCTTCTCTGTTAAAACATCCCTGTGAACACTTAACTTCACACAAAATCCCTGCTTTCCAAGAAGAAGGAGCTTCATGTCACAAGTTCCGGGTTCACCAAACTCAATAGCCACCTTTTTTGGCATAGACTCAAGTTTGGGTCTATGTGCTCTCTGGGAAGGCACAGAAGTGCTAGGTGGAGGTCTTTCTGAATCATCATTACATTGTTGAGCATCAGAAACCACCAACCTTGATGGGGTAGACACTGCTTTTCTCTCACTCACTGAGACTTCCTTTTTATGGGAACTAGTCTTTGGAGGTGGTGAAGAGGGTTTGAGTTTATTCAGAGGGTTTTGAGGCTTGAGGCTTTTCTGGAACCCAACAGGAGTAGGGCAACACCAAAATCCTTCAGGGGTGACAGCAATTGGAACATTTTTAATCTTTGTTTGACTTTGCTCAACCCTGGTAAGCCTGATATCCCCCATAAGTGACAAGGATTCACACTAATTATATGGAACAAGATATAGAGCATCACAGTGAAAATAATGCAGTGGAGACAACTCTGTGTGTCCCTATTTAGAAACCAATATCTTTCCCCTCATAAAATATGAAAAATAAGCAAAATGAAAAGCTGCAATCTTTGAAGCTGATCTTCTTCCCCCAAAGGAATCGGCGCCACTGCAGTTTCACACAAAGTGCATGAAACATGAGGAATGTTCAATGGACTGAAATTTTGATATTTTCCTGTAATGGGAAAAGGGATTTGAACTGAAACCAAAGCAGAAGTATGCAATTTCTTTTCAATATTTTACTAAATAAAATGGTTGGAGCGTTTTCAAAAGTACAATATAACTATGAAATTCTATATCTGACCCCGTCAAAGTGAACTAGTAACTACAGATCAGCACAAAGAAAACGACCTTTTTTTTATCTCTCTCTTTAGACACTTGTTACTAGTAAACGGCAAAAGCAGAAAACTTACCAAACATTTGTCATATGAGAAACCTCTGAAACCCCATGTCGTATCTAATACTACTTTGTTTAAGCTCAGAGATTTAAAAATGTTTGAAAAGAAGCAGAAGTGTTGACCCTGAAGGGAACCAAAGAGCAAAGTGCTGCAGAGAGGAATAATGAGTTTAGTCCCTCTTTAATTTGTGAAGAAGAGAACACCACGAGACCCGCAAAAGAAAAAAGAGGGCACCCAAATGAAATGAAACGGATGATAATGGTTTATGGGCTGTGTTTCTTACTTTCCACTTTATCAGTTCCATGCTTTTCATGATTTGGGTCTCAGAATTTGCATCACTTGGCCCCTCATGAGACTCAACCATTTCTCTTGTCTAATTAAAAAGACAATCTTTTAAAATAAAAATAAAAATAATAAAAAAAAGGAAAAACTTTTCCTTTAATCCTGTTTTTCCATGCTGTAGTACTCCATACACAACTCAGCAATCAGCAACTCTTTCATTTTATGGTTTCGTTTATTTATTATCATTATTATTGTTGTGATATCGTGGATTCTTTATGTATGGCACTGTTGCTTTTATCATAATGTACTCATGTGGAATAGAGTAAAGCTAAAGTAAGCTAGGTTGATTGCACATGGTTCAATTACCATTATGCCCTCGGGGTCGAATTGAGTTGTAACAAGTGCAAGTGGGAATGTTTAATGGAAAATTGAAGAAAGAAGAGGAGAATTTTGATATTGAAAGCAGATCTGTGTCAGAAAGAAGAGTAGTTTCTCTCCCTTTTGGTTGTTTTTATTTTGAAAGAGGCAGTTACCCGTGGAATTGTAGGAGGATGGATACGAAGATGAAAGCGATGGATTGTCCTAAAATCCAAACCCTAAAATATGAATCTTCTAAGAATAGACAACGATGCTGCCTTTTTAATTCATCTCTTTTTGGTAGCATGTATTAAACCTAGCAGGTTATTGTCATTGCTAAATTACTTCGCCCTCAACTCAATTTGAAGGCCAATTAATCTCGCTAACAAGAATCAATGCAGGTTGAGTTTCCTTATTTTACGATGCACTCATCATACGTTTTCTCTTTCACATTTCCTCCACACACAAACACCTACTAATATTTTGTGGTATTTTCATACTCTATGACGCACCTCTAAAATAATTCTAAGAACCAAAAAGTGAACGTGGATTGTCTTCTCTAAAATACACTAAAAATGGTGACTATAAATTATATTTGGATAATTTTTTAAAATTATAAAAAATTGATGAAAAATCTATTTTAAAAGGGAGGTTCCATCAAAAATTATTTTTAATACGAGAAAGTATTATGAAAATTTTTTCATGAAAAATAAGATAAAATCTCACGTCAATATTATAATATATAAATGAATATTGTTGTGATGATTAAAAAAATCAATTTTGTATAATTAAATTAGTTATAATATTATTTTTAAAAAATTATTAATTTAAAAGTTAAAAATAATAATTTTTAATTTTGAAAAAATAAAATAAAATTCTAGAACCAACAATAAAAGTAATTTATTTTATACACTCTACAAATATGTGTACACCAAAATGATTAGGTGAGAAGTAAGAGTGTTGGAATAAAAATGAAATGCTAAGATGCAAATACAGGAGTGATTCACATCATCACCACATGCAATGCTTTTCCTCTTTAATTCAATCTCTTACTTTCTTTTGTTCTGCCCTCTTTCTCTCTGTGATTATCTTTTTCTTTCATCATACTCTTTTTCTTTGTCGGATCATGAAATGGCAGTAGAGATCCTTTATGTTGCTTACTAGGTATTTTTCTTCATTTTTTTTCCAAGTTCCTTGTGTGCTTCAGTGATGGCTTCGACTTCATAAGGATGGAAAGTCAATAAATTAAATAAAAACATATATTACTATGTTTTTATCTATTAAAAATTTAATTCAATCTTGTATGTTCATCCACAATTTATTTAATGGATGATATTCAATCCTTCCATAAAAAGATTATTTTTAGATAAATTAAAATTATGTATTTTTAGAAGATTTTAAAAATAAATTATATAAAAGAAAATTAAAAAATCTTATAAAAATATTAATTTAATTTTATCTTCTTAAATTATTAATAAGAAAGTCTATTGGATTTTGAAAATTAAGAAATTAATCATTAATTATCTATAAAATAAAATGAATAAATTTGATTTGTGTATTTTTTATATTTTTAAAATAGATAAATGAATAAATTAGAATGAATGATGGGTAAATATATTAATTTTTCTATCTCAATGTTTTCAATGTCAAACAGCTACCACATTTTATTATATAAGCGTTTATTTGGTTAAGTTTTAATTTTTAGTTTTTAAAAATAGTTTTGGAAATCATTTTTAAAAAAATTGTTATTGAAAATAAGTTAAAAAAAAACTTGTTTAATAATTTTATTTTTGGCAACTACTTTAAATTAAAGAGTATAATATAAATTACTGTAAAAAAGTCATGAAAGTTGAAAAATGAATTTTATAATTTTATAATAATAAAAATAATAATTGAATGTAATTATTAGGTAAAATATTCATCACCATTAAAAAAAAAAATAGAACATAGCAACAAAAAACACCTTTTATTTTAGTGTTTAAAAACTAAAATATAATAACACTTTTCAAAAATTGTTTTGACAAAACAATTACCAAACAAGCTTTTTAGTTTTTAGAAACTAAAAAACTGAAAACTATTCTTTTAAAACACAAGAAACAAATAAGTCCTAAATTTTATTATATTTTTTTTTCTTCTTAATTTTGCAGCAAATAAAATATGACAAGAAAGTTAAAATTAGAGCGGATCGGTTTTGCCTCTTAACACCCCTAATTTTTGTTGTGAAAAATAAATTATTTTAAAAATTATTATTTTATATATAATTTATTTATATAAATAAATATTTATAATTTTATAATTTAAAAATTATTATTATTGATTGAGTATATATTTGATTTATATTAATATATATATAATATTTTTTTCATATAAATATTTATATTTTTTGCATATAAACGTGAAATACTAATAACATTGTTACATATTATAATATTATATTTAAATTTTTAATTATATATGTAAGTTAAGATATTTTTTAGGTTAGTCGTTTTAAAGTAATAATAAATACAAAATTATAGTTTATAAAAAAATATTTAATAAAATATTTTTTATTGAATTAGTGTAAAATAGTAAAAATAACTATTAACTCTTTAAAACTATTAATCATTCAAAATGTAATTATTTCATTAATATAAAATTTGATATGTTATAAATAAAAATAATAAAATTCATAAATGATAAAATATAATAGAAGAAATAAAATGGTAGTAGAAATTATTAAGATCGATATATAATATTTTAAAAAAGATAAAGAAAAAAATTAGTGTTGATCAATTCAGTGGAAAAAATTAAGAAAATATATAAAAAAAAAAATATATATATATATATATATATATATATATATATATATATATATATATATATATATATTCAACTAGTTGAAGAGATTAACATAGAGTAAGAGAAAAATAAATTGTGTAAAATAGAGAAAAAATTATTTTATAAAATATGGAAATAAAAAAAAAATAGTTGAAAGAATATTAATATTTTAAATTTTAAGTTTAAATATAAAATTAAAGATGGAGGTTATATTACTCTTTTTTACAATTATGTTAAAATAGGTTTAGTATAATGGATTGTCCCAAAAAACTAAAAAAATAGGTTATATTAAATTAAAAAACTTATGAGTTAAATAATTCAGACTTATTTTGGCTCACACAATTTAGGTCAAGTGAAACTAGTTTATAAATTTATGTGTTAATTCATAATTTTATGGAGTAACATATTTTATAAAATAATAATTAAAATTTTAAATAAAAAATATTATTTTATTAAAAAATAATATTATTTTATTAAAAAATACATATGTATTATAAATTAATTTGATAATAAAGTAAAGTAAATATAAGAAAAAACATTTAATATCCAATTATTTTATAATATGACAATTAAAATGAATTATTATTTTTAATTAATAAATAGTTAAAAAATAAAATAATAATAATAAAAAGTAAATTTTTAACTTTTATCTTAGGATTAACTGAATCTCATCTTTATATATATATATATATATATATATAATTATATTTTAAATAAAATATATTTTTTAATATAATTTAAAGTTTAAAAATATATTTTTATTTTTTTATTTAAATATATTTAAATTATTTATTTGTATATAGACATATTAATAATGGGTTTAAATTTTTAATAACCTATTGATATAACATAAAACTATACTAAACTAAAATTTATTAACCGATATTATCAAATTTTGTTACTTACAAACAACACCGGTTGGCAGCTCAACTTGTATCCCACACATATTTTGTAATCTCAATTAAAATATCACGAGGACCAATAGTTGTAAGAACTCAACCAACTAAAATTGATATTAAATTCAGCTGGTCAGAGAATCATACAAGTTATTTAATTTCGGGTACAATATATCACCCAAAAACTCAACACCATACCTTAGAATTAAAATTGTTTTTTTTTTTCACATCCCTTAGAATGTTGAATGAGAAAAAAATTATAAAATAGAAAAAATGCATACAGATATTAATTGTGAGCTCTCCTTGAACAAAAAAAAAAGAAAAATCATATTCAATGCATTCTTTTAAGTAAAACAATAATTTTAAAATATGGAGTACGAATGTTGATGTGAAATGAAAGCACATGCAGCTACTTCTTCTGGATATGGGGTTTTTTTTTTCCTCTTAAATTCATTGGGACATTCAAGGACTAGTAGGACCTATAGTAACAGTTAAAATAAGGGAAATAAAGAGAGTTTTTTAACATTATATTATTTCAATAGAAATCCACATTTTAAGATAAAAAAACTAAAATAGTGAATTAATTACATAATGATTCAAATAGAAAAAAAAATAGTGCCTAATTATTCAAATAGAAAAAAATTAGTGCGTAACTTTGTTTTATAAAATTGACTGATCAAATTATATTTTGGATTAATTAATAGACTTTAATTTAATTTTATTTCCATTATAAATTTAGGCATCGAGTCTTTGAAAGATTAAAAGAGTACATGATTGACTTTTGATTGCCACAATTTCAGTTACAATAAACTATTAAGTAGTTTTTAATTTATAGGTTAATAGATCATTATCAGGATTTATTTGTTTCCATTAAGTAGTTTTCAATTCTTAAATGAATTGATCATTATTAAGATTTATTTTCCTTTATTGAATCTTTGTAACTCTCAATTCTCTCTAGATTTATTTGGTTGTCATAATTTTCGTTCTACTCGTCCAAATTAAGTACTTTTTA